CAATGTACAGTTGTCTGAACCCCGTGTATTTCATTGGAACATTTTTACGTTGCCATGGTAACGTGATTGCATTGATCTATGTGATATCTATTCAGAGTTTGGTGATTAATCGATTAATCGATGATCAATTGTGGCCATTCCAGCTATAAGCCAAACAGGGCTGGACCTGGTTAATACTTGGATGGGAGACTTCTAGGAAAATCAGGTGCCACAGTGGGGCGCTAGTCATAAAAACTGTTGTTGTGTCCTTAGGCAAGGCACTTCACCCACATTGCCTAGTATGAAAGTGGTGTGTGTGTGAGTGATGGTGGTGGTCGGAGGGACCAATGTCACAAATTGGCAGCCTCACTTCTGTCAGTCTGCCCCAGGGCAGCTGTGGCTACAATATTAGCTTACCACCACCGGGTGTGGAGTGAATGAATAATGCTCTGTAAAGCGTCTTTGAGTGTCCAAAAAAGCGCTATTTAAAACTGATGCATTATTAGTATTATTAATTCTGCAGAACCAGAACTAAAGAGATATGGGTCCTTGGGTGCTGCACCATGGTCTCTCTTGACAGGTTTGAGCCTAAGGTAGGATGAGTCAAGTACAAATGCAAATGTCTGTAATGGAAAAACTTTTAGTGCATTGACAGATGAATATGTTTTACCTGGTTTGGTAAGATCCTGTCTGAAGTAAATACTCGAGGAGTAAATAGTTTGTGGAGAAAAGTAGAAAACAAAAAGTTGGGAAATACAGGAAGTATTATAGTATATATAATAGTCATTATGTATTGATTAAAATTAATGTGAGATTAGATAAATAAACAATAATGACATGAGTAAATGTATAACTGAGCAGTGGAGAGACAGACAGGTCCCTGTGGGGTGCAGTAGTCAATGGTGTGAAGTGTCTTTTCACCAGCTCTGATTAGACTGTGAACTAAAGACTCCTCTGAGGATTCTGAGGCTGTAAGCACTATGTGTAGGTGCCTTTTATTACTTTCAAATGAATCATATTTCTGTGCCTTAAGAACATAAATTATATTGCCTAGTAAATCCAGAATGATTTCACACTTTTATTTTTTATATAAAGGAATATCCCAGTGGTCCCCACACTCTCAATGGCGTCTCGAGCCAGAACCAAACAGGGCCAACCAATCAGATTTGTTTATTTCAGTGATGCGTGTGAAATGAAGGAGCTCATTGGTCACCCATCATTGTGAATATAATTACATTTCCCTCACCTCGGAGTTTAGTGCTTCACTCACTGATTCTCCAGTAATCCTCTTTTTTTTTTTTTTATATATTTTTCCCTTTCTTTTTCCTTATGAACTGTCATATTTGTTTTGATAAGAACAGACTATGCATGTCCCTGATTGGCTAATCCACCTGTCAATCATACCCTTCTGCATGGGGTCCCAGACAAGAAATTTGGACAATGGTTATTCAAGAAACTTGATTCAATGTCTCTTTTCTGTGAGTGACTAATAATGTTCATGGATCTTCCTCCCTTTGTTATGACATATTTAATAAACAATATGAACACTGAATAATTGATTTTAGTTTTAGTAGCAGTCTAAAATAGTACTGAATGTATTTTAAAAGCAAAGTTAGGCTTATCTAATGCAATTCTCCATTGTCCATGTTGAGTAAACTTCACAGTATTAAAGTAATCCTCTTGTTGATCATCAAAACCACAGGCCTTAGTGAGAGATGTATGTGTGTTTGACACATAAAAGCAGGACCAAAGTAGGCCTCATAAATACACAGGAGGAACAGCGGTTGTAATTTTAGTTTGGACGTTCCTGTCAGGACTCTAATGCGAGGAGACGCAGACAGATGGACTGCTCTTGTGTGGAGATCCAGTTTCAAACAGTGTGTCACTGCTCATGTTTGGATCATTGTCCAGACACTCAGAGGACAAACATCATATGGATTTAACTTATAATGTTTATGACAAAAACACCACAGAGAAGCTCTTTCTGGTGAGGTTGAGGATCACCTTATGACATTAGCAGGTGGTACAGCAAACTTGTAGCTGTTAAACGGGTACCATAGTGAAAGAACAGGGTTTTTTTGTTTTGTTTTGTTTAGTTTTTTTTACTACAAAACAGCTCTCACCATTGGGTTTAAAGTTTATTTCTGTTTAACATTTAAAAAGAACCACATTTGACCAAGCCATAGTAGTACAGTCACTAAAAAAGTTGAAAATTAAAAAGTTAAAATGTAGTTTAAAGTATCAAAAACCTTTATGCAAAATATTCCTAAAGATAACCTCTCTTCTCTGTGTAACACATTCAGCTTCCACCGACAGGAAAAGTAAGACGGTGATTTACAATAAACTGTCCCACATGATGTGACCACATGTTGAGGAGTGGTCCACTCTTGCCCCATAACAACAGTGACGTGATGCTGGCTCAGCAGATTCTTGGGTACTGAGATGCAGTGAGAGAAATTGGAGTGTGTTTGGCTGCGCTTGAAGCAGACAGGAGCTAATTCCAGACAGGACATTCCTGGTGGGACAGCTCCACTTTCTCACATCATTAAGGGGAATGTGACCTTGTGTTATGGTGCACAGCTCCATCTGCACAGCTCTGCAGCTCCCACTGCAGACGCTTATCAGATGACAAAGGAGCATTGAAATGGTCACACTGTCAATGCCGATGACTTCAGGCCGTAGTACTGGAGACCTCTGGGAATATCAGGTGCTACAGTGGAATGGGATCAGGCAAAATGAATATTGTTAATATTATGATGAATTTAAGGTGCATATTGTTTGGATATAACCAATGAGAAATAACAACACATAAATGATCAGGATCATATGTGATTTTAGCTTTTGTTTATTTCTAATACAAATACAGTTTATCTACTGGATACAGGATTATTGACATATCTCCATATGCACATTCTACTGTGTTTCAAGAATCGCAGCCACACCTCTGTCACACTACCCAAGGGCAGCTGAGGTACAGGGGAAAGTGATTTAGACTCAATGAGAGTTGATATAGACCTGAGTCCTGGTTTAGTCCTGGTTTAGTTCTAGTTTAGACCAGGTTTCAGTGCTGCTTTGGTTTGTACTTGGTCTATACTCTGCAGGGGTCTAGAGTATGGGTCATCACATCTGGTCTAGTCCTGTTTAGTCCTAGTTTAGACCTGGTTTAGTCCCAGTTTAGTCCTGTTTAATCCAGGTTTAGACTTGCTTTTAGTGCAGCTCTTGTGATAGGTACTAGGTCTATACTCTGCAGGGGTCGTCAAGGTGTAGAGTCATTACATCTGGTGTAGTCATGATTTAGACCTGGTTTAGACTTAGTATGGGCCTTGTTTAGACCTTGTTTAGTCCCTGTTTAATCCTTATCAATCCATCAGTGCTTTGTTGTGCTAATGGTCAATGTAAATGTCGCTTTAACATACCCTCTGCCCTTATCCTCTAATGTTTGGTAATGGGTTTGTTCAGACGCCCTTTGTGTCAACTCTTTAACCACAAAGGGATGATAAATATTTTGATTAAAGCTCTGTCTCTTCTGGGCACTGCAGCACATTACAGTTAAATTAGGGTTAGATCCTGCTCATCCCCCACAGAGCTTAGCGCCCTCTGCTTCACGACAGCTGGACTGGCACCCCGAGCTTGGCTTATTTTGGACAATCATCGCTGCATACATGAGCAAGCCCATTCCAATGCCACATAAGATATACAAGTAAAGATAGAGAGAACAGGGCAGTAATGAACCAGAAGTGTATCACCATGGAGACAGCAGGCAATGCCACTTCAGACCAAGTTACAAATCAGATCTGTGGAGAGGCTCCAGCTTCATGTTTTTCAAAGTACACAGTAGGCTACAATAAAAAGGCTGTAACTGAATAGATTGCAGATCTGTGGTTCTGAAACTTTTCACCAAGTACAACCAGCAAAATAATATTTGACTTTCCAAGTACCACCAGTCAGCCCCTTCTACATTCTGTTTCAATGCAAGAAGTGTCTGGAATTGGACCACAGGGCACAATAAACCGCTGTCCTAACTTGGGACAGTCCAGCCACAGCTGCTAATTTGTGACACATGTCTCTCAAATGTGGAAGACATCTCCTCTCAAAATTCAGACAAACATTCAGAACAAAATATAACTTCTTTTACCTGAGATAAATAAGAGTTTAGTTCTTCCGTTGTTGATTCTGCAGAAATTTGTGTTGGTTATTAGTCCTCTGCTTGATTTTTCATCCTTTTTCACATGTAAACTGCCTTGTTTGTTTAGGCACAAATGACCACATGTCTCATTGTTTGAAACAACACTGTTGTAAATAGCCTAGATAAGACCCTAAGAGGACTCACCTAAAAAGACATTCTGATTGCTGGTGGAACTTTCTGTGATCAATGACATAGACACACAGAAGGGGGCAGCATTTCTCTGTCAAATGTTATTGATAGACAGGTGGATTTCCATTGAGTGGCTGGAACTGTAGGTTAATTTTTAGAGTATCTTAGCCTATTGGTGCTTTTCAGATTTTGGATGTGATGCTTTCATAGCCCCACATAAAGAGCAAGAGCCAGTGTTCTTGACTAAATTGTACTTTGCTATGAAATAGGCCTAGCTAAAAAGTAACTCCACTTTTTTTTTTCTTTTTAATCTCACAATGTAAATTAGTATTTTAAATATATAAAATTTAGCTGTCACTCGTCTGTATTCAATTATACTTGTCCTTGGAATGTTGTCATGTCATCTGATATCACTGCATACTTTTTTTATTTTTACTGAAGTATACTAAGTAGTTGGCAGTTGACACTATTGTTTATTTATATACCCATTAACACCTGCAATAACGCAACAAAAGGATAGGCTTATGTCTAGGCAAGGTTAAAATATCAATATATAATTCGATTTATGATTATGTTGCAAAATCAGACTTACGTTCAAAAAGTTTACCCATGTGTAGTCCATGCCTGAATAATTATTTCAGAGACCACTTTTTACTTCAGGAAGCAGTAGATGTAGCCTAGTATATTATCATTAAACATATAGTTCATTCCTCCCATAGTGAGGAGGCGCACTCGCTCCTCTCCATGCATCCAAATGACGCGACATCCGTGGTCTTGTTCCAGACTTTTCTCTTCACTTTTACATTCTATGTTGCGGAATATCGTGCTGCTGTCGTTTCCCATAACATCTACATAAACAAAGGTATGCAGTTCAGAAACGCATTTGTGCAAAAGAAAATCTAACCACGACTCGCGTTTTTGTTTTGGTCTATGCGCAACGCGGACGCATGCTAGTGTTAGCTACGTTAGCTGGAGCGCGTTGCGTCGTTATTTTTTACCTACAAACTCTTATTTAATGTCACTGTAAACGCTGTGCACGATTGAATGCGTTGCCAGTCTTGTTTGGGATTAGTCTTTTAATCTATGGGCTAAATGTCGAGCAGTAGAGTGAAGAATTTTGTTGCGAATCGGTTGCTGCCTTCTTTCCTGTAGCACTCTAAGCAGTGTCCTAGTTATGACCATTTCTCTTCATACGAATTCGTGTCATAAAAGCTTGTATAGAATGAACGTATTGCGTATTCCAAAAAACTTTGGCATACGCCTTTAATGTTTTGGTGGTTTCGTGTGGTGAAACAGACTGCAGATCCAAAATGGAATAGGAAGGCTCATTCAAGGACAGTTAGATTTGATAGTGCCAAGTAGCATATACAAATATTATCGCTATCAATTTATAAGCATGCTTATAACTTGGCTCGTATATGTGCGTGAGTTCATATGCAAGTCACGTGGGTAGCAGTCTCAGTGTTTTCAAAGAAGCCCAGTGAAAAGAATAGCCTAAATAATTCATTTCCAGTGTATTTCTTATATATAAGGTGTCTTCCTAATGAAAATGCACTCTATAACATAATACCATAACTTCATTGATTGGTTAGTAGAGAAATTAAGTTTAGATTAATATTTAAGGGTCCACTATGTAACATTTCTGGAGGTGGGTCCACAACCTGCTTGTCTCCAGGATGTTATAGCTTTGCCTGGAATAGAAAAACATAGATGGTGTAATAGGTTTTCTACTAAACATTTTGTTGACCTAGCATTTAATCAAAAGTTAAATGATGTTGAGATTAAGTCATTTGTAATAATTAAGAATCAGCTTTGGCCTTAATTATGGCGAGGTCTACAACCATTCCTTCGTCAGTAAAAGCATGTGGTTAGGAGCAGAGTTTAGACTTTGGAGGAAGAAAGACCAAGTTAGAATAGTTTATCTTGGTTTTGGAAAAAATATAAAATAGAATTGAAATTTAAGATAATTTTGCCTTATTTCCCAGTCTTACTTGCAATTCCAGGTCTTTATTTTCAAGTCATTCAAGTAAGACATTGAGTAAGAGAGCAGATTAAAATGCTGTTCACCACTTTCAGTCAGTAAGTCATTCAGTCTGTTATTGCTTACCTTTTAAACAAACTGTGTTTAGAGAGAGAATTTTTTCTTTTGTTCTTTTTTGTTGAAGCTTCATATACCCTGTGCACATGGCCTTACTCCTTAATTCCAGAACATAGCAATAAAGACTTCACTCTGTTTGTAGCCTCTATGAAATTACTTTCTCTTAATTTTCTCTGCATATTGAGTATTAAAGTTTGAGTTAATCATATGTACTCAGTTCCACGAAGATTGACATGTGGGTGCTGAATTCACCACAGATTTGAGGATTTCCATTGTTATTTAGTGTAATGGTCTTGCTATAGCTTCATGGTATTTACACTAGGTATTTTTTTATTACAGCATCTAATAGTTATTTATAGATCCTGTATGAATTGTTGTCTTATCGAAACTTGAATAAACAATCTTTTGTTACTAACCTCTCTCCGTTTGTGTCACATTCAAATTCTCTGTTGTCTGTTCCCTCCAAACTCTGAAGTTTGTCCCACAGAATCCCCAGATGACCCTAGATGACCTGAAGAAGATGACCTCTCCAAGATGTCCACCCCAGTTCCTGTTTAGTAACCCCTGTTCTGTTTTTCAGCCTTGCATTAACAAGCCCTCTGATTGGAGGGCTCCCTGGGAGCTCTCTTCTGATTGGCCCACAGGCTGCTTCTCTGCAGCTAGCTCAGCTCCAGGCGCAGCTTGCGCTGACACAGATAAATAGCCCATTGACTGTTAGTGGCAGAGCTAGCTCCAGCACCACCGCTCCTTCTCCCACTGCAGCTGCCATCAGTCTCCTGAACCTGCTCAAAATTGCCAACAACATGTACAACCCATATGGGAACCAGCGGCAGGGCCAGGGGCAGTACGGAGCAAACACCAACCCAGACTGTGACCCTCGCATGGGAACAACCAATATGGGGCTTCCCTTCAACCCTCCTGGAGCCTCTGGATCTGCTAACTCTCTGTCCAGTAGCATGCCTATGTTTTCACAGCCCATGTCCTACAGACCCGAGTCAAGCCGCTCTGACGTTGACCGGAACATTGACTTTCAGCTAAGCAGAGCCCGAGAGGAGGCACGACTTCTCAATGCCCCACTGTCCCAGCCTTCTACCCAGCCGCCCTCACAGATGAAACCCCAAAGGGAGGACATCTACTCCCCCTTCTCCACCTACTCTGTTCCATACTCTGCACCCTCCTCCACCTACTCCACACCCTCCTCCACCTACTCTGCTCCCTCCTCCTCCACCTACTCTGCTCCCTCCTCCTCCACCTACTCTGCTCCCTCCTCCTCTGGCCCTCGGCAGCCCTCCAGAGCCTCAGATACAGACAGCGGAGTTGGTGGGTCACTTAGTTGGCTTTTGAACCTGAGCAGATCCTCCTCAGCAGAACCACGGCCCTTTGTATCCTCTTCTTCAAGCTCAAGCTTTCAGGGTGGCGGAGAGTCTCAAAGAAATCGCAGCGAGTCTGTTATTCCAGGACTGGGAGATTATCCAGACAGAATGACGCCTCCACCTCCCCAAAGGAAAGACTCGGCTCCAGCAAAATACAGTGCAGAGACGGCCGCCAACATCCTTCGTCATTTCAACCTGGAAAAAGAAGATCTGGAGCAGTTGATATCTTACCCAGAAAATGAAATCACGCCAGACAGTTTACCACTCATCCTGCGCCAAATACGCATTGAGAAGAGCCGGAAGTCAGCGGCCACATCTTCTTACAAAGACTCAAGAATGAGCGTTGATGGTCACCAAGAACCTAAACAAAATAAAATTATGGACTATGCAAAGAAAGACATGCCAGTTTCAGTGTCTAGTAGTGCAATGGACTATAACATGGACAGAGCTTTGCAAAACACTACATCTAGAGACTATGCTAAAGATATACCACCGATTCCAAGTAAATCTGAATTGGCGAAAGAATCACCACCTGTTTTGCAACCTAGTAAAGTTATTGATTATGGACACACCGGGAAATACATGGGAGGGTCTGGAGGATCTGATAGTATGGGAACAATTGCAAGAGCTATCCAAGGTATTATGAAGATTGATACAGGATTTATAAGAGAACCGCTCCAACCACCACCTACAACCTCTCCATCCATGCCTGCAAAGCCAATTAGCAGTTTGGTGTCACCATCTCAAAACAGTGCTGTCCCCGTTGGTAGTTATTCGTCATTGTTTTCTTCAACCTTCACCTCTGCAAGTTCAGATCTGATCAAAAAACCACTAGGGACTCAAGCTCCTACGATGTCAAAATCATTCAGTATCCCAAAACAAGACACAGATTTCAGACAACGCAAGCCGGAAGTATTCACAGAGAAGGTGGAAAATGTCAAACCACTTTCAAAGTTGTCACCACCCAGAAACACTAAGAAGACTGGAGTTGTCCTGGTTGACAGCATCAAGAAACCAAAAGATGAGGGTAAAAAGCAAGATCTGCCAGGGCTTCAGAGCACAGCAGGACAATCACCCAATGTAGGAATTTCATCATCATTTGTTTCAAGGAAGATTCTTCTGCCTTCTCCTCCAAAAGCATCACCTATTCCAACGTTATCCAGCAATGTCACAGGACGCCCCACAATTATCCCACCGGCAAAACCAATACCGACTGTTGTGTCAAAAAATCTAGGGAATTTGGTGCCAGTGATGACGCAACAAAAGTCACAACCAAAGGCCCAAACTAAGGCCCAGTCAAAGCCCCAACCAAACCCTAAACCAGCCCCTGCTCCACCCAAGGCATCTACTGCAGTGAAGGGTTTGCCAACCTCTGCCATGATGCAGGACTACGCAGCTGCTTCACCGCGGTCCTTTCCACATACCTGTTGTCTGTGTCACAAAGAATGTGGCCATATGAAGGTGAGTGGACCACTGCTCTCTCTCTTCTGTCTCCTTTATTTAAAACTATCAAATAATTATTGCCAATGTGATTTAATTCCCTTGCATTTGTAACTTTTGGGATATGTATAAATCTGATGTTAAGGTTGAGGTCGAATTCATCAATCCCATTTAAAGGGCTTTTACTTGATGTTATTTTTGATCATATCAAGGTGAATGCTCTTTATATCATGCTTTGCATCATAAAATACAGAATATAATACTGAAGTTTCTGATAGAATCCCCTTTTTGTCTAATCAGACACATTGTTACTAAGAATCATGTTATGCTTATTGGTGCTCCATCTTTTTTGTGTAGGCACATGATGGTTCTCTTGACAGGAGAGGGTATGGAGTATTTTGAAATGTAGTAGAGTGCAGGGTTAGGAACCAAATATGTGCCAAATTGTGGAAAGCTTTCCTAAGGTTTGTGAAGTGTCTTGTCCAGGAACACAAAACAGCGTACATTTCATACAAGACATTTTTTAAGTGTAAAATGGGATCTTCCAATTGCATGAACTGTAATAAAAAATAAAAAAATCCCAAGACTCGAGAAGCTGAAGATCTGGAGTGTGAGAAGTCAGACCTTTCCTTTACAAGATCGAAGATGAAGATGGATTTTTCTTTAAGACTACAACCTGGAACATTATTTTTATGAACATATGTGTTGTATTTTATTTTGACCAAATTGTGAATCTTTAAATGTTTTTAATGAACTTTTTAATTCTAATTATGTTTACCCTACACTCACAAGCCATTTTACACGTGGACCCCAATTTTTCCCGTAATCATTTTGGACAGAGTTACTTACCAAGATGGCACCCCCTGTCTTTCATCCCTGTTCCTGCATCTGACATGAAGATGAAGCAGTGCTAAGAAGACCTCTCAACCACAGAATCATGGACCTGGGCACCTTTTGAAGACAAAGACTAGATTTTTTATTTTATTTATTTATTTATTTTTTTTAAATAGAAATATTAAATGGTGTAAGATAAATTTGTGGTTCTCAAACTTTGCCAAGTAGTAGTTTCAGTCTTGCTTGTCTTATATGGCCTTTTAATGTTTTCACTATGTGCTGGTTTTCTATCAGTTTCATAGCATGGGGAGTTCAGGTTTATTTTCAGTGTTGGGGTGAGTTATATGGAGCAAAAAATAAATTTGCACGAGATTATGTGTGAAACACTCTTTATTGAGCAAGGTTTACACATTATTTATCTGGGATGGCTTTACTAATACTTGAAGAAGTCTGGTCAAAGTATCACAACACCAGAATAAGCTGAAAAATCAAGCTTTGATTAAATCCAGTTGAGGAGTAAGAATATAATTCTCTTTCACCAATAAAAAAAGCTCATCCATCAGCACATTTTTCAAAACTTGTATTTCTTCAAAAATGGGTTCAACTACATCCATCTGTGTCACCATGTTTGTTTTGGTTCACTTGAATGTTTTTACCTTTAGCTTTTGACCATTTACAGAGACAGTGAGGAATTGAGAACTAAAACAAAAAAGACATCACTTGCAGGCAGGGCAGTAGATAACGGGGGCCCCAAAATTTCTGTCAAAGGGCCTGCTTGTGGGCACTGTTAACCTTGTCAAAAAATGTATGTCTTTCCTGTTACCCTCCTAAATATTCAGCTATACCAAGGCTAGTTTGAGAACCACTGGTGTAAATGTGTAGTTTGCAGAATATTTCTTATTATGGTGAGTGAAATTGCCTGGATTTGTGGACTGGACCTATATTAGCGTTACTGTGGTTACCCTGTCTCCTCCTCTCAGTAAAGAGATTATGGGTTAGACTCCTGATCTTTCTGGAGTGTCCATGTGCTCCCTTTGTTACTGTCTGTCCATATAATTGTATACACAGGGAAAGAATGTAAATGTTATGTAGTGAATGGCCACTCACTACACAATCTATCCATGGTTGCTAACTACGGATATTAAAACATTGATGTAGTATTTTTATTAGAATGTTGTTACAAAATATAGAGGAACTAGTTTATTAAGAAGTTACATCACAATTTGTCAACATTTTATACTTATTGTCAGTGAGCTTCTTATCCTACAATGTTTTATAAACACTATGTATTTTGTATCCTAATGGACCTTCCTACTCCAATCAATGAGAAAATTCATCTTTTTTCCAATTTTTTTCAATACAATGAAAACTGCAAATGTTACATAAGAATACATAACATCCACTTCTGTCTTCTTTCAACACGTTCATTTTACCTTTGATGCTGACTCACTTTTTGACCATTAAACATAATTTTTACACTCATTTTGGAGATTTCATTAATGTTTTGTAAATGTTCTTCTGGTTTTTAACTGTTCTTTGTTGCTTTACTAGGACTGGATTACACACCAGAACTCCTCCCTCCACATCGAGAAGTGCAAGTTTCTCCGTCTGATGTCAGTAATTGTATCATATTTTTCTTAAATAATTTCTTTAAATCATTGAAAGCTTTATTTATATAAAGGTTTGCTGTACGACAGAAGTTTAGGAAACTATTAAATTTTTTGATTAAGACTTTCTTTAAGTGTGGGTGGATTTTTTATTTTTTTATGCTTTTGGTTATTTTTCTAGTCCTCCTGCTCTTGATATCTCGATATATGACTGTTAACGTTTTTTGATGTTGTTGTTTTGGGTCTTTTTTTTCCAGTTATCCTGAGTGGGATGGTGAAGTAACACCCAGGTAAACATCAAGGCAGTATACTTCACTACAGTGTTGAAAGTCTTTTTTTTTTTTCACAGAATATAATCACAATTAGGACTGGATATCTGTAACAATTTGCCAATATGATATATCTCGATACTGCACTTTGAACTCAATACAGTCCAGGAAAAAATAAAGGCTTTTGGCCCCTTGTTGAGCTATCCAATTATCACAGATATTTTTTTTTTTTTTTTTTTTAAGGTCATGTTAACTAGAAGAATACAAAAGACTGTTGCATTGGTCATTGCTTATTCATAGTTTATACAAGCTCAAAATTTTCATGTACTGAAGGGACGTGTAGTTTAACTGCTCTGAAGGTTCATAACATAATTACAAAATCATGGCTGTGATTTACATTTATATTGTAAGAAAACTATCACCTGTTTCCGCTCCAGAGACCCCAAGCCTGCCTCCTCTGCCCAGCCAACGCCTCCGCTCAGTCAGTTGCTGAAACCTCGGAGGAGTTATTCTCGTTCCCCCAGCCCCAGACGGAGAGACAAGCGCCGCAGCAGGTCCCGCTCTGCACACAGGCAAGCACGCAGGTCTGTACTAACTTTATTTTCTACTTTGTTTTCTGTAACCCACTATCTTCATCTCACAGGGCTTCACAAATGTTTTGATTTCACCAACAGGAAGTTAGAAAATTCTCAGACAGGCAGATTAACAAACATTCACTGAAAACAAGAAAATGAACAACTGCGCCAGACTGCCCCCTGTCCTTACACTCTCCTTCTGCAGGAAAAAACTCAAATTCCCAGTGGGAAAAAGGCAAACCTCGATAACATGTCAAATGATACGAATGCACCACATGTCTCCGTGATTGGTCAATCATGCCCGTTAAAAATTTTGGAGGCCGAAGGGTGAAGTATAGTGGACTCTACGCGCACTGCTGCCGCCTTGTCACCATCGTTTTTGATTTATGGATCTGCGTCGAGGTCTATGCACCGCAAAGTAATTCACCACCAAAACGATAGGGGGCTAGGATATATGCCCATTCATATATACAGTCTACGTGTGACCTGCAGACGTATAATCTCTGAAAAGTTTAACATGAACCATCTCTAACGCGAGAGGCAGAGGGCCGATCGAGGGCCGCAGACTGGTGCTCAGTACAGTGAATAATTGAAATATGTTCATGTTTAACACGTTAGATTGAGTCATCAGTCTTTATTCTTGCTAAGATCCTTAAAACCACACACTAAATATTAAATATCAGCTTTATCAAAGTAGATTTTCAAAATGCTTACAGTAAAAAGTAAATTTGTAATTGATGCAAAGTAATTTGGGCCAATTTACCTGGAAGCTTAAGGGCTAAGAAAGATTTGTCTGAGGGCCGCATTCGGCCCACGGGCCATAGTTTGAACATGCCTGGTAGGGTTAGTGTTAGGTAGGAGATAGTTCATGTTTTAGCTTTTCAGGGATCATACAGGTGTAGGTTATACAAGTGCAGATTGTATGTGTGCAGATTTAGCGCAGCTCTTTATTTTACAGTCATCTCACTCATGTATGGATACTTTATTTAGGTTGATTGCTTTATTTATGTCGCTACTGTTGCGGTGAAAAGTGTTTGTCTTTTGGACACGTGCGCACTCAACTTTATGTAACAGTAACCGCGATACTGCGTATGCATGCCACAGTATCCCGGTTACAATCGGAATACACCAGCAACAGTATCCCGGTTTCTAATAACCGGGATACTGCCATAACTGGGATTCTGAAACTGGGATACTCAAAAAAAACAATCATAACCGGAATACTGATGTGCATGTATACACACTCAGTGTGTGTGACTCAGTGTGATTTCACTCCAAAACACTGATCTGACTTTACCTTGAACAGGACTGTGGACATTTTGCAGCCTTGTATAATACTTCCCTAAAAGTCCTATATTATGCAAAATTTACTCATTGACTTATGATGTTGTTACTTCATCAAACACATACCTGGAGTTGTGTTTTGTTTCATTCATTGAGTAATCCCGCATTATTAATCTCCAAATCTCAAAATGCTCTGTTCCATCTTGTGATGTTATGTAGTGGTAGTTTTCAAGTTAACTGCTATGTTTTACCTTTAGTTCACTACAGATTGGCAATTACAGGTCTAAAATTATCCAAATGATTCTAGTGAAGGTGTAAGGGGTTTAAAAGCGCAATGGAGTACTTACTGTATTATCACATGACATCACAAGAACAGAATGTTTTCAGTTTGAGAGAGAACTCAGCCTAAATATGCACGGTCTGTGTGTTAAACATGTGTGAATGAAACAACACACAACTCCAGGTATGTTTTTGATGAGGAAACAAGATTATAACACAGATCAGCAAATGGCATAATACCGACCCTTTAAGAGACATGTCACGTTTATGTTTGGAATGACGTTTTGCTTTTGCTTTTATATTGATTTCATTTATGTATCTCTATATATTGCCTCCAGATCCCATTCTGTGTCTCCTCCCTCTTCATCACATCGAACTCACACTCGATCGCGAAGTCGTGAGCTTCGTGAGCCTTCTCCTCGCCGTGCAGAAGAGCGGCGGAGCAGACAGTCCCCAAAGCGCTCAGACGATAAACGAGCCTCTCCAAAACGCTCAGAGGAAAGGCACTTACCTAGACAGACTAGGAGAAAAGTGTCCCCAGTAAGAAGCAGAGAGAGGCGATACTCACCTTTGCGCTATACTCCACCCAGGTACACAGGGTCCAGGTATTCTCCAACAAGATATTCGCCCCCTAGAGGATTTGACAGGTACACACCCCCGAGATCATTCGACAGGTTCACTCCACCTAGAGGCCATGACAGAACATCACTGTCGCCACGGGAGAGGGCAGAGCAGGCCAGGAGCAGCAGAGAAACGCGCTCCTCGTCCGATAAAAGTTCTGTCCACAAATCGACAACACAGAGGAAGAAGCAGAGACATCTAGAGGAAATGACCAAGCACGCGCTGGAGAGCTCCTCAGGTCAGTGCAGATGGCATAATTTCAGAAGGGGCCTATAGAAACCTAATGAGAGATTCATTATATTGTTAGAAACATCAGAGAGACTCGTGATCTCAAAAAGCTTTACATTTAAATCTTAATTCCTACCAGTTAGATTAAAGGGATTATTATGTTATAGCTGCTTTATAACCACCATGTTTTGTTTGCAGCTCTAAAGTCCCTGGCAAACACGACGGACCTGCCCGCACTGGCTGAGATGCTGGTGCCCGTCATTATGTCACAGATGAAGAAAATGAACCCCTCTACAGCGCCCTCTACAGGCACAAAGAAGAAAGTGGTGAAGAAACCCACCACAACCACAGTGAAAAAGACCATCTCCACTGCAGCCAAGCCCACTGTGAGTCAAATACAGTGCAAAAGTCTGCTTGTTATTTTTTGCTAATTTAATTAATCAGGACTTTGTTGATATCAAGCTCCCCTATTTACAGATAAAATTTTACATAAGTCAGAAATCCAGCTTTAAGTACATTTTTTTTTCCACTTCTGTTTTTGAAAATTATCTTTTTTTGTAATAATTAATCTTGACCATGTGGCTCCAAAATCTTAAATCCATGTTTATCATTTCAGTTCAAAATTTTGAATTTTGATTTGACTTATTTTCTGTTTTCTTTCTTCAGGCTGTGAAACCTTCTACGATGGTGAGGCTGGGCTCCATCATCCCACCTCTGTCTCATGATGATGTTGTGGCATTCGCTGAACAATTTGGGAAAACCAAATCGGTTTTATTGTTTCGACAAAAACACCAGGTTTTTGCTTTTTTAAGGTTTATGTTAAAATCATGTGCTTAATTAAAGGTGCACTGTGTTTTGTTGGGGGGTCCCCAATCAGTCTGGCTTTAGACTTGGTTTTGTTATGGTTTGCTGCAAGATTTTCGCTTTGCAGAGTATATTACTCTTGTTTTCCTTTGTCCCTTAGGCTGTGGTTTGTTTTGAGAAAGAGGAAGATGCGAAGAAACTCAGAAATGCAAAAGATATTCAAATCAAAGAGCATCCGGTCACCATCGTCAGATATAAGGTAAACAAAACAGAATACCATGTATAATGTTTTCTGCTCAGAGGTCAAATTAGTAAATGATAGTGTAGATAGTATGTCATTCTATGCAGTCTTCATATAAGGCAGAAGGACAGGTCAGAATTCTATGGTGAAATTTGCTGTCACATTGCAGGTTTGCAGCAAATAAATATATATATATTTATTTATTATTATGTATTTATTATGTATGACTTATTATTATTAGCAACAAATTGATTATTGAAATTGCTGTTAACTATTTCACAGAATAATCGTTAATTAAAGAAAAGTTAAGTAGAATTAGGTAGAAAGAATAATCGCTAAATTTATCAGATAGAAAAATAATTGTTAGTTGCAGCCCCAGCTAATATCTGTAACAACTGCGCCCATTAATTTGAACTGACACGAAGTTAAAATTATTTCTGTCAATCTAAACGAACAAAAGGGAAATACATTTTTCATTCAGTGAAGTGTCATTAAAATCGATGTGGCAAATATTAACAATGAACCAGGTTCAAATATCTTTTCCTATAACTTTTTTATCTCCATGCTTTCAGGAGGCAGTTTCCACGACTCAAAGGAAATCTCCAGTGTCTGCCCTCAAAAAACCTCTGAAGTCTGTAGTAAAGTAAAATGATTACTGTTATGATTTTTATGCTTAAAGGTGCAATATGTAACTTTTCTGAGAGACGATGGTTATTGCTATGCCAAGAATACTACAATTATGGCATTAAATTTAATGGAAGGTGACACTAGCAGGCCAAGATGCAGGTCAGATCTGCGGAGAGGTGATCCTGCTGTCCATAAGAATGTATTTTTGGTATTTTATTAGCAATATAAACCTGTAACTGAATAAATGCGAGATATGTGGTACATTCCTGACAAAGCATCGTCTCCAGGAGGCTAGCAGGTTACGTACCTCCACCTGTAGAAGTGACATAGAGCACCTTTAAATTCAACCCATACACCTTTTTAAAACTTATTTTTCATTTGACACCATTTTATATTTTGGCATGTGTAACTATTTTGTATTGACATTTCCATTACAGAGCCACAACTGCAGGAAAATCTATGCTCAAATCAGCTGGAGCTAAGCCAACAGCTTCCAGAGCACCAGCCACTAAATCAACTCCATCAAAGTCTACAATGAAGAAAACCTCTGCTACACCAAAACTAGAACCAACTATGGACAAAAAAGCACAGGAATCAGAAACTGACACTTCTACTACTACTAGTACTGTTGCTGCTGCTAATAATACAGCTAGTGCTATCGCTGAAGTGGTTGTGACAAAGGATAGAAAAGCCACCTCTATTCAGAATATGAGAACGATTCAGCGGTCCAGTCTTAAAGAAGTTCCAATCCAAGATGAAGCTAAAAATAATGACGCAAAACAAGATGATGATGATGATTCGGAAGTGGCCGAAATTAAAAATGTTTGTATGGAAACGATTGAAATTAGCAGTGGGACCGATTGCGAAAATGAGGAGAGACCAAAAGTAAACAAAATGGTGGTTACAACAACTGCGATTTTAACTGACAAGACAGATTCTGAACAAATGGAGGAGAAAGCAGTTACTGAAGAAAAAACTCCAAATGAAGAAACTGTGGAAAGTGTCAAAAATTTTGAGCAAAATCTGGAAAATGATGATTTGAAAATACCAGAACCAAGCATTTCCGCAGATGAGAAGGATTTGGGGAAAGTCGAGGCAAAACAGGTCACTGAAAAAATTATTCCGAGTGAAGAAATTGTTGGAAAGAAATTGGAAGAGAATTTGGATAAAGGTGATATGAAAATTTCAGAAGGGGCAACACAACAAGATCAGGATTTAATGGAAAAAGATGCAGGTTTGACACAAAAAGATAATCAAAATTCACATTCTGAGACAACTTCTCAGCAAGAAAAGGGAATAACTACCCAACAAAATGAAAATTCAGAGCCTTCAACAGAAGCGGATGTTGCAGTGGAAAAAGATGAAACAATTTTCATCCAAGAGGAGAAGGCCACGCAAGATAAGCCATCTGAAGAAAGCAATTCTGTTAAAGAGGTTGCAGTGATGGGTGTGCAGCCACAGGAGGGTGCTGTTGAGCAAAACAAAGAGAAATCTGTAGAAAAACTGACAGAAAAAACATCCGAAGCAGAAGAAGAGAAGATGGAAGTTTTGACCACAGATGCTGAAAAAGTCCAAGATGAAATGCCCAAGAAAGAAGGTGAGATTGTCCAGTTTACGATCTAATTTGCAATATTTTTTTTTATATTAGGATTCTGTTAAGGGTGCAAATTGTAAGCACATTAACATTTGAGAGAAGACTGAAATTGGAACAGATGACTTAATGCAAGAAGCACATGTATTTCAGCACATGCTGAAGCAGATCGATCTATAAATTTGCGTTGTATCATATGAATAATTGCTACTAAGAGCCTATGATTTAAAGTTGTACCAAGTAACTTGTGTGAGTGGCCCACCTGTTTGCGTTTTGTTATTGTTTTGCTTGTAATTTTAGTTAAATTTTAGTTCAAATCTGGTATTTTTATTGCTTAAAAACATGCTTGTCTCCATGGATCCTCATTAACGTCTCCATGGAGACAAGCAGTTGGCAGACTCTTCACCAGAAAAGTTGCAGAGTGAAGCTTTTTTTTAAGTGTCAGATTGTCGATTTAAATAAAATATGCAATTATTGGTTATATCCACATATTTTCTTGAAAAATTAATTGGGCTATTATGCTACAAGTCTAACAAAAGGCAAAATACAAGTGTTTTGGTTTTTTTTAGACTCTGTTACCCCTGTGTCTGTGGAAGTGCAGCCGGACAGTGGATCCAAACCGGACCCTAAACCGGACCCTAAACTGGACCCTAAACAACCGGACCCTAAACCGGTCTCAGTCCCAATCCCACCAAAACCTAAACCAAATCCTAGTCCAAAGTCAGATCCTTTGACGTTGGGGGAGACTCTGGACAAACTACTCACCGTCTCTGCTTTCAGTAAGATAAACTTTATTGAACCTTTTTTTTTTTTTTTTTTTTTTTTTTTGAGTTTTTAAATGCCCTTCTTTCTCCCTGCAGATACTATTAAAAATGCCACAGTCCTCTCACCAAAGGTAAGTCTTAAGTTTGACTGACAGTTATTTTACAATGGCTACTGAGTTTGGACTAAGACCCGGACTAAGACCCGGACTAAGACCCGGACTAAGACCCGGACTAAGACAGTCTTCTCCTTTACAGTTCCTTCAGAAGAATAACAAGAGGGTAGTTCTTCTCTCTAACCTGCCGGTGTATAATCCAGAAGACCCCTACACAGAGGAGCAACTGGTGACAAAACTCAAACCATTCGGATTCAAGAATGAACCAAACAGTATCTACATCCTCCCTCAGTGTAAACTGGTACTAGCTGACCTTCTGACCCTCTCCTCTGTATCCTCTCTTCTATCTGACCCTTTCCTCTGCTCCTTCTGACTTTCTCCTCTGCTCTGTCTGACCCTTCCCTCTATGCTCTGTTCCTTCTTCCTTTGTTTGGCGTTCATATTGACATTTTGTTTTTTAGGCTATTGTTGCGATGCCCAACAAAAACTCTCTTCAGGAGTTGGTGAAGAGATTCGTTGAATGTCCTTATGAAAACGCCCTGTTCAGAAGCTCTCAACTGAAGCCTCACGTCATCTTCAGTGGAGTTGAAATGTTGCCGGTAAAGAAAAAACATGCAACAAAATTATTATGTATTTATTATATTAAAATGATATTGTATTGAACTGACCAGTTTCACAAATTTATCATTAAGTTTTTATCATACCACCGGGACCACAATTAATCAGTTAAAGTGAATGTTTTTCTTTAATCATGTCTTTCAGATGCCTTTTTACTTATCCCTGATGCGAATATGTGATAGACATGTAAGTAGAATCTTTTAAAAATTCATTTTGCCTAGGTTTTAGTTTCATTCACATTTTATGAAACCACAAGTTCTGGATGATGAGCTGAAAACAGTTCATAGCCAGAGTTTGATGAGAGAGCCCTTCATCACTGCTTGTGGTTTTAATTTGATTTCTTTGGCAGTTGCCTCTTGACAATGGGGAGAAAACCGTTTACATCACAAACATTCCTCAGAGTGACATGGCGGAACTTCAAAAGATGATAAAGAAAATCGGCTTCATTAAAAACTACATGCCTCTCCTCAACAAGGTAATGGTACATTTTAAAGGTGCACTATGTAACTTTTTGTTTGGGGGTCCGTCTTCTTTTTGTTTCTGTGGATATGTCATTGCTCTGCCAGGTATTTTCTAGATATTTTTGAGCTATAAAACCACCTGTAATTGAATAAATGTAAAGTAAAGCTGTTTAATGTCATACTGTGGAACATTACAGGCAGAGCAATGGCATATCCATAGAAACAAGCAGGTGTCAGACCCTCAACCAAAAAGTTACATAGTGCACTTTTAAAATATGTAAAAAATTTTCAGGTGTTTGTGGAGTTTGAGTCGACCCAGGCGGCTGATGCTCTTGGAATCTACCACAGCCTTTTAAAGAGGACTCCTTCATATGAGATGTTCAGGATGAACCCCCCTAAAAATAAAGGCGTTCTTCTGTGTAAGTCCTCAGAAAATGTCACAGTTTATTTATTTGGAAGTTTTGTAGAAAAAATGTCAGTAGTTTTGTCAGTGTGAGAGACAGGACTAGGTGGGTGGGGTTGTGGAAGACACATTGTACTTTTGTGAATCATTATATTTTGGACATTTTAAATTGCAATCTTGATCTTAAACAGGTTGGCTGATGTGACAGAGTAGCTCCGTCATAGCTTCATTTCGCTCCCGTACCCGACTCTTTCTCGTTCCATGTCTGTGCGCTCACCACCGCAGTAGTCTTGGCTGCACACAAGTCCACTGAAAAATCATCCATATCGATAACTTTGTCCTCCAACTAACTTCTACCCATATTCATCTCCCGTTTGCTCGCCTCACTGTCAAACAAAGCCCCCGCCAATCACTTCCTATTTCTGTCTTAGTGGACGGGACATTGCCGTCTGACATCATTGTGACGTCGTCACAAAAAATCACTGCCTACAATAAAATATAAATTTTACTTTCCCTGGTTCTGCTACAGGGGCAGAAATGTTTCCATGTGATACAATGTATTTTTCTGTATTTTTTTTCTATTTTTGTTGTAATGGTTAACTTGGGTTTTAGAGGTGTTGTTTTGTGTTAATTGGCTTGGGGAAGGAGTCTTAGGGGATAAAATAGGACCGCTCTACCTCCCTCAGTCAGTTTAGACCTGCACTTGTACATGGAAACACTCTTCAAACTTTATTATTTTGGGATTTTATATCATTAATTAAATCATCAAAACATCCTTTGACTGTGCCATCATCATTACCCCAGAATAGAACCCCATCACATATGGTGTTAGAAGTGGGACCAGATTGGAAACTGGCAGAGTATGTATAATAATGTAATATTAATTAGCATTTACAACATCATTAGCTTCTATCACTAAAAAATAGCTGCATATCACATTGGAGAGCAGCAGATTTTTTTTTCCATTTGTACAAAAATGGTTGTGTGACGCTGCCAAATCAGATGTGTACTGATTAAGAAAAGTACGGAGTAGTGAGCGTGTACTGGTGGTGGTGAAAATAGCGGTAAATCAGAGCAATGATATCTTGAATCCAGGAGAATAAACATGCATGCATCACTCTAAATACACCTTTGACCTTTGGAGAGAATGGGAATTACTTTAAAGGTGCACTTTGTAACTTTTCATTTGGGCGTTTGTCTTTTCTTTTTTTTTTATGGATTTGTTATTGCTCAGCTACAAATATTCCACAATATGAATATTAAATAGGTATAACTTGCATTTATTCAATTACAGGTGTTATTATTACTCAAAAATACATAGAAAAACAGGCATTTCAACTGAGTGGGATCTCCTCTCCATAGATCTGACCTGTAACTTGGCTTGGTTTTGTCTGCATGATAGAAGGGCTTAATGCCATAGTGTGAAACATTTCTATATTTCTAAACATCTCTAAGGAGAAAATCAAGTTGCAGATGCTCCTTTAATCCTTAATTTGCACATTATCTCTCTCATAATGTCTTTTTTTGTCTGTGCAGCTAAACAAGTGGCAGCTAAAGCAATGCCAGACCCTTCAGAGAGTGTTCCTGGAGCGGTTCTTCCTGCAGCGAGTTTTGGAGTTCCTCTTGGAACCGACAGTCCGTTCTGGGTCACCATGACGACCATACCCTACTTTTACCCCACCCAGTCGCTATGGTTCCTCATCCCAGGTACCCCCATTCCTCCCATGGCTGTTTTTAATGGCTCTATACTAGATTTTTACCATCTTTAAAATGTGAAACACTGGCCTAGCTCATTTTTAAACAGTTTGCAGTGGTCCAAAGTTATTCCTCATTTACCTTTTGCATTCAGAGCGTCCTAAGTAGTCACTGTGCTTTTCACAACTCTCAGGACACCATAGCAGAGATTTTGCCATGATAGTAAAGCTAACAATACTTAGCATGCTAATGTGCACTTCCTGATTATTGGACAATATAACAGGGGTGGGTGATATCTCGATATTTAAAATATATCGAGATATTTTTAGAAACAAAATATACACAAGATATAATGCTTATAGTTAATTCTGATTTCGCTGCTTCACTTGTTTGCCTTCTCTGTGCTCGCTCCCACTTGCTCGGCACAAGGAGCTAGAGTTGATGCAAAGATGAGCTTGAGTTCAGTTTTTTATTTTTTAATGAAAAGAAGGCAATATGTATTATTTCTTCCTTTATTTTACAGTTAAATTATTATTATTTTTTTTTTTTACTGTCGCAGAAGTACTTTGTTCCTACATGAAAAGCCTACATCTTTGCACTTCATTAAAAAACAAAGACCTTGTGGCATATTTGTTTTTGCAGTAGTTTTTGTGGGGTTATTTTTCCTGTACAGATATTGAGATATATATCGTAAATTGAGATATAACAAACTATATTGAGATATATTTTTTTCTCCATATTGCACAGCCCTAATATAACGCTTTATAATTCAGACTTATTTTGACCTCAAGCTCTGCTTATACAATATTCTAGTATTTGTATTGGAGTAAGACAAATTTTGCTCAACTATATGGCGAGTAATCAGGTACAGGGCTTTAAAGAGTGGTTCAATAAGCAAGGACTTTAAAGTACACCTGTATGTTAATACTATATATGTTTGTGTTGTGTCCTGCAGAATATGAGACGCTGGAGAATAGAGCAAGCAAACAGTCAAAGGTAAGATCTGTTTTAATTCATTTAATAGAGGTGACTTTAACAAATCTTAAACTTGAGGGTATTTTGTAGTGTTTTGTTTAAATTTCAGTAGTTTTAATTGATACTCTTCAAGCTGCATGGCAGACCTCTGTTGTGTCTTTAAGCTTTGGGCTTATTTTCCACACTTCAGAGATAAAGATGCACCAATCTAGCTTTTTCAGTTCTGATATGATTCCAAACGAACTTTGATATTGGCCATCAATGCACTGAAATGCACTAAAAACACATTGGTCCACTACAATATGTCTACACCACCATGACATAATTAAGCTCTATTGTTTTAATTCGGCCCTCAATGCCGTAAAACCAACATTTCAAACCACTCTGAAGAAACAGCTGTTTTCTTAGGGGTGTGTTATAGTACAATAACAACTCATTGGTCCCAGTACTGTGTTTCTATTTGTTCAGTTTGGAGGAAATATTTATATTATGTTTACTATAAAATATACGCAGAGCCGTCAATCATTTCTGTCTTTTTATCCAATATTTTTCAAGTTTGCATTATAATTCTTGCATTGTTAAGTTTTGTGTTTTTGTGTTAACATGCCTGTAATGCTTTCTTCTTGAAGTGGCGCCACAGAGGAGATAGAAAAGTAATTTTAAGAAGATGTTTCTATACCTTAAGGTCATGATGAGCTAATTACAAAAAATAACGATTTGATCAAATAGATAAGGGTCTAAGCATGAAAATGGTTTAAAATTAGATATTAAAATTGGAGGAGAAGGTGTTTTCAAATATTGGATATTACACAGAAGTAGTACCATATTGATCAGAGGTGTGAAACTCAAATTCACAGAGGGCTGAAATTAAAAACTGGGATTAAGTCATGGGCCAAACTAAATATTTATTGAAAATTTCAACATCTGCATGTTTTCTCTTCTTTCAAGATATGTAATGTTAAACTTTTTAATTAATTAAATTAACCATGATTGTAATAAAACACAATAAAACTCTTTCTATAAACTATAGAACATGATTTTAACATTATATAATAGTAGTTTTTTCTTTTATATTACAACGTGATCTGTGTAATCCTTTATATGTCCAGGTAGGCGCCATAGTGGTCCTTGGGTGTAAGTTGTCTACGAGCTCTTATGCTTTTGATACAGTTCAAGGTCATTCTAAAGCTATTCAGGAAAGGTTCATTTCTGCAATGTGAATGAGACTTTTTTTTAGTATTGATACCTGTTCAAATGAGTATCTAGTTAGTTAGTAGTTTTAGTATGCCTCCCCTTGCCTTCTTTCCAAACTTTTGACCATCCTGATGCTATAAAACTCTAAAAGGTCTCTTCTTGCGTGGGTTTTGTGCAGCGCTTAGGTAACTGGCAGAAGAGGACCGTGATGCTGACGGGCTTACCTGTGGGTGGGTACAGACACGAAGACGTGGTGTCTCTGGTCTGGAACCACCTGCTGGGCCAACACCTGCACAGCTTGTACTACAGCATCATAGTGCTACCTCTACAGAGACGGGTAAGGCTCAAAACTTCTCACACAACATCTGATTGGACGGTAAAAAATACAGATATATCATTGATTCATGCTTAAAGTTCCAATATTGCATGCACTATTCTTCTCTATATTATAATGTTTTATCCTCATTATAAACATACGTGGAGTTGTGTTTTGCTTCATTCACACATGTTTAACACACAAACCCTGCATATTTAGGCTGAGTTCTTCCCTGAAACAGAAAACACTGTTTGTGATGCTTCTGATGTCATGTGGCAATACAGGAAGTGCTCCACTGTGTTTTTAAACTCCACACACCTTCACTAGAATCACTTGGAGAATTTCAACCCTAAAATTACCTCTCTGTACTGAACTAAAGGTAAAAGGTAGGTGTTAACTTGAAAACTACCGCTTCATGACATCACAAGGTGGAACAGAGCATTTTGATTTGACAAACTAATAATAAAGGGTTACTCAAACGTGTGAATGAAACAAAACACTCAAAAACTCAAAATCAACATTATATAGTTTTTAGATATCTCCTGAAATGCATGAGATTCTTGAATTATTTTAGAATTTCATTTGCCATTTCTTCTGGATGAGTTTAAAATTAAATCTTTCAGCAGAATCCTTTTACTAAGACATACAAATCTCAAATTTAACCACAATCTCTACTGGATGTTGTTTCCATATAGTTCGGCCCTAGCCACAAACTTATCTTTAAAATGTTAATATCTATCTAATCCCATGTTTTTTGTGGTTGTTTTAGGCATTTATTCACTTTTGCAATGCTGGGAAATGTTCAAAATTCTCTGAGGATTACTTCAGACAAAAGATCACTCTGAAAGGGAATCTGCTTCACGCTCACTATGTCAGAGATAGAAATGGACTGTTCCCTTTGTCAGACGAGGTACGTTTTTTCCCTCTCACCACAAGGTTTTGGATTTGAGTCCCATTTTATACCTCCCTTTCAGATTTTACATCTTTCAATTAAACCTGCTTGATTTTGGGGGGAAATCTTTTGTAATGTTGTCCAAGCAGAAAGCAGAATGAGCCTCACCTGAGTCTTTCTGGGTTGCCAGTTTCAATGCTGAAAGCCAATTGGTTAAACCTAAAAGTATTCCTGAATTGGTGCTAGTGCAGACTCTGTAGCTCAGTGAGGGAATTCTGGAGGTTCTGAGCTTTCACATGAGATATAGCCTGTCCATATAATGAGAAACTCTGTCATTGGCAACCCAAGTTCAGTTGTGACTGTTGTAGCGTTTTAGAACTTGTAAGTAGAGCCCAGGCTACATACCCGACTAATCGAATACATTAAAAGTTTTTCATCTCTCCAAAGGGGGCTCTCCAGAGTGATTTATTTGAGTGGTTCCAGGGTTTTTTATGTATTAATTGCACACCTCTCGTTCAGATACTATTGAGCAGGGGTGCCCAATACGTCAATCGCGATCTACCAGTCGATCGCCAAGGTCGTGTGGGTAGATCGCCGTGTCTTAGTACTCGTCTCGGACTCGCGTTTGGACTCGGTCTTGTCTCTCACTCAAGGTCTGACACTCAACAAGTGCGATCATATTTCATTCCGGCCGCTGCTGTTGGCAGTAAACTTGTACCGGGGTGCACTAGCGTGTGGGGAGTCTCAGTGCAGCCTGTACGCTCATTTGAAACCCACGAAGACTCTACGGCACATCACAAACACACACGCTCCCTATGCACGGCTCGTCTGCAACAGCGTGTGCCCTCGTGTACCAGCGTGCATCACAGGGCAGGTTAAACTTCCTAGACATCCTACCTGTCCATCTGCCTCAGGTCAGCACGCCGCCCCTCGCCTTTTCACGCTCTCGCTCCTTCCTGCGTACAGCGAACACAAGCCCCTTCCACAGTGCGGCTGATTAGAAGAGCAAGACGAAACATGAAGCAAAAACGAGTCTAAATTTGTGTTCCAGTGTTGGCACAAAGCAGGTCTACAGCTTAGAGCAGACCTACAGAACAGACCTACTGCCACATTTGGCTGAAGTTTGCCTAACAAAAGTGCACAAATGCATCTGTCTTTGTCACGATGTGCGTTTGGTTTGGTAAATATGCAGAGGCTGGTAAATATCACTGCAAAACCAGAAAAGAATGCAACTCCAGTTTGGAACTTTAAAAAACAGGTTTAAAAATCTTCCTTCACTTTTTTCACAGTTTTGTGTAAAGTGCCAGAGGAAGTTCTCTTAAAGAAGGGGTTCTCAAACTGTGGGTGAGGGTCCAAAAAAGGGGCACAGAGTGTTTCAGTGCAGTTTGCTTGGCTTTGTATTAGGTAGATCATTTTGACCTGGTCATTTTGTAAGTAGCTTGTATGCTGAAAAAGTGTGAGCACCCCTGCTATTGAGAGTGTTGTGGCAAAGTATTGTCTCATTGAGGTTTTTTTTATTTCTTTTTTTGCCATTAACAATAACTAATTTTTTTCTGTATCACAGGATGAGATGTACTGCGCATTTATGAAGCTGAGCAATGCTGTGAGTAAATAAAGTTGTATTCTAAAATGAAATTCAATTGAAAAGCACATTGCGATAAGCTGTAATGTTAAACTGTCTTGTGTTCAACTTGTCATCTCTGTAGTTTGCACGTCTCATATTTAGTTTTTTCAATCTAATTTCTCCGTAAATTAATATTTTTGAAATGATAACAAATACATATTGACATTTTTACAAATTCCAATTCAAATATGTAGTATAGCCTATTCAAGTAATGTTCTACTCTTTTATAGTCATTCTTTATGTTACAACTCTTTTTATTCCCTGTTTTATGGCATTGTTTCAGGGCATTCCGAGCAAACACCTGTTGAAGCAGAGGTTACTCATTGTCTTTGTGTCTGAAGTTTCTTTTGACATGATCAGACTCGTGATTGAAATCGTCACCTCCGTCGCCCCCATCTTCGGATACCTGCCTCTGGCCAACAGGGTACGAAAAAAATGTAAACTCATAATAACGCTATTTTGTCCATATTTAGAAATGAGTGCTGTTCACATGACATCTCAGCTTTCTAGAATCACTTTAGTGTAAATCTGAGCTGTAGGACAGGTCAGAATTCTGTGGTTGAATTTGCAGTTTAACTTTAAGTTTAAGTTTACTGGGCCTATCCACATGAAACAAAACCGGCACATCTTCTCTCTGTAAAAATATACAACATATTTTTTTATTTCACAATACACTTCTACTTGTTTATACTGACAGAAAAGACATTGAAATTTGTGACAGATTTTGTTATAATGGCCAGACTGGCTTGTTAAAGCCTGATCCCGTCAGATCTCAGAAGCTAAGCAAGGCCGGGCCTGGTTGGATGGGAGACACTGAGAAAATCAATTGCCACAGTAGAGCACCAGTCACAAAAACTGTCATTGTGTCCTTAGGTAAAACACTTTCACTCACATTGCCTAGTATGAAAGTGATGTGGGTGTGAGTGATGGTGGTGGTCGGAGGGACCGGTGGCGCAGATTGGCATGGCAGCCGCGCTTCTGTCAGTCTGCCCCAAGGCAGCAGTGGCTACAATAGTAGCTTACGATCACTGGGTATGGAGTGAATGAATAATGCTCAATAATGCTCTGTAAAGTGTCTTTGTGACACATGTCTGTGAAAAGCACTATATAAAGAAAGACTGACTTACTTACTTAATGTGGATGGGCCCAGTAATTACAAATATTAACCAAAACCAGTTCGACAAATCTGGTCACAAATTCCATCACAGCATTTTTAATAATTTTGTAAAATAATCAATAGCTTTGCTGTAGTTTTGAGTGTTGGATGTTGGATCATAAATACTGTTTTATTTGATTACCTCTTTCAGATTTGTATTGAAATGGCTGATTCAAATGACGTCCCCAAAGTAAAGGAAAGATTCTCCTCCTACACACCGGAGATCTGGAAAGCACGGATTTGGTATGTGCATGTGTCCAACCAGGAAGTAATCTTCACCTTTTTTTTTTTTTTTTTTTTTTTTTTTAAAGAATAAAAGAAAAAAATAGACAATATTTTTTTTGTAAATCCTAAATATAATTATCTTTAACTACGTAGTCTAACCTGTCATCTTCACTTTAATTATTTCTCCTACATTTCTGTTTAAATTGAATTAAATTGAATAAGTTTATTTTGCAGGAACTCTGCAGTTGTAGTCTTGTGAGTGTAGTTTGGGTCAGATACAGGGTCAGATTGTAATAGTTTTTTATTGTTTTTGCCACACTTCATTTAGTTGACTAATCGGTCAGCAGGGTATTTAAGTTGACTACAGCCCTACTATAAATCAAATGACTCAGATTTTGTTTTTAATTTCAGGAATAAAATCGTGGGTTTGGAGACGTAAGTAACTTTTATACGTGCAGCTTTTCACTAATTTGTCAACTAGCTTTTTTTTTTTATTAATTTTGTTCTCAAACACTAACCTTTTTGCCACCTCTATTTAGCCTTGCATGATTTAGCAAAATATATATATATATTCTCTTTAATCACAATTTTATATACTGTATTTTTCAGTCTATAAGGTGCACTTAAATTCCTTGAATTTTCTCAAAAATCTGCAGTGCGCCTTATGCATTAATTCTGGTTGTGTTTACTGACCTCGAACCAATTTTATGTGGTACACAGCACTCAAAAATCTGTCAAAATGTTTTAGTAGACTTTGGTAAGATACAAAGCCACACCGCTTGATGGATTGTCGGAGCATTATGGCTACCGTAGTCAGGAGCTTCGCAAAGTAAATTAGTCCGACAGAAGCTGACCGCATCAGGGCAGAATGAGCAAGCTGTTTTTTTCAGCTCTTTTTTAAGCGCTTATAGTTTATGCAAATCAGCATGGATTTCAGTTTCGTTTATGTAAAACATAAACAAATGTGAACAAATCACACATTAATACTCAGTGTATATTTGAGGAGTCCTTGTAGGAAATAAAAATCCAAACTTAAATTTTCCACCCACATTCACATTCATAATACACATTTAACAACACAGGGAGGCAATGCCTCAATCTGCCAATGGATCATGGATGCCTGGGCTAAGGTGTCATCACAAGTATCATCCGTTTACCTCGCTTAATGTGCCTTATAATCCAGTGCGCCTTATGTATAAAAATAGACGAGAATTCAACATTATTGATATTGCTCCTTATAATACGATGTACTTTATAGTCTGAAAAATACAATGTATATTTTCCCCTAATTAAAAACAAATGTGTCTTGAAAACAATGTGCCTATAAATCTTGGATGAGGATCAAATATTGATAAAACAAGAAAGGACCATAAAATAAACCTCAAGTGATATTCCCTGCAGAAATATCATTTTATACATTAGACCTTTCTGCTTATTTTATTTTTACTCAGCTCTTTTTGCTGTAATTGTTTGTTCATTTATAAGCTACCCTTGGTATTCTAATTTTGCGTATCTGCAGAATAACTATTCCGTTTTTGGTATACATTGCCCGTCCCTAATTTCATTAAAATTTGATCAATGATTATGTCTGTTTTAAAATATTATAGTATATCAGCCATGTATGTATTATGTATTGTTTAAAATGCAATTTATTTTATTTATTTTTTGTAGTTGCATTGAGTTGAAAGAGCGTGTTAAGAACTCTGGGAATACTGTTGTAAGCCTGGGTAACCCACCTGGCCCAAAACCTTATGAAAAACCTGCTCAAATGGAAACTGAAACAGCCAAAGAGGAATCAAATACAACTTTGACAGAGGATTTGAACAGAGAGAGTAGAGACAAAGAAGAGCAACCACAAAATGAAGGAGCTGGAGAGGTGAAGACTGAAGAGACCGCAGTAGTGACTGAAAAAGAGAAACCAAAAACTATGGAAACTGACCAAAAAGAGGTAATCAGTGTAATCAATAGGGAAATTTGGCTCCTGTCCCCCTCTGGGCATATGACATCATCACAATTCAGAATCTGAACCAGTAACATAACTCAGTCTCTACCAATTTCTTCTTAGAACTTAAAAAACTATCATTCAATCCAAAATTCAAGGACAAAAGGCTCTATTCATGCTTACATAACAAACCAGGAAGATGTTTAGAAAGATGCAATTACAACTTCAGGTGTAGTTGCTGACAGTGGGCTCGCCTAACATGGATCTGTTAAAACCGACTGTGATAAAACCCATTGAAGTAAATGTGATCAGCGGTATGAAGGAAGTCTGCATACTTATGTGTTGTTTGGAATAATATTGAATTTGGCACCCTCATCTTTTCCAATTGCATGTACCCAGTGCACTCGGAGTTGTGTGTCAGTAGAGAAATGATGATAACTGAGATATGGTTGTAATTGTTAATTAACCAAACATAACAGAACACTACAATGACATTTAGATGAAGAAAAGTGGGCCTGCAAAGTTGTAATCGCCTCTTTCCAAACATCTTCCTGGTTTGTGAGGTAAGCGTAAATAGAGCCAGTTTACATGCAAGGAAGGTATTTAGTTACATTTAAACACAGTTACATTTATATATATATATATATCTGTATTTATCTATCTATATCTATCTATCTATATATATATATATATATATATATAATATATATATATATAAAATCTGTCCTCTGCAATTTAAAGTTTTCTATGGGACAATAGCAGATAGGGGAATGTACAGGCCATCTCAAAAAAGTCTGCCATGAGATGGTTTGTAGGAGTTAACTACATTTGTCGTTTTTCAGAGCTCAGTTGCTGCGTCTTCCTCAGCTCCTTCCAAAGAGCAGGGCCCAGATCTTCCTCGCCTCGATGAGGACATGTTCAGACTCCTGACAGCAGCAGTCCGAGAGCACAGACGCCACAAACATCAATCCTCAGACAGCGAGCAGGAGGACAGGAAGGTCAGATATTAGATATTCGACTCAGACTTAGAGCAGCTTTAAGTCCAAGTCTGTCTAACGTTTTGGTTGGGGGTCTGTCATCTACTTGTTTCTATGGATATGTCTTTGCTCTGCCTGTTCCACAGTGTGACATCGAACATTAAATTCTAGCATGTGAACGCAGTCAGTCAAACGTTTTTTTTCTTTCTCACTGCAGAGTCAAACTTCAGAAGACTCCACCACCCGTTGTGGCTCCTCTAGGGACTTCCCGTTTGAAGACTTGTCTGACTTTGTGATGGTTGATGAAATTTCAGAAGACGACGTAGATCACAGCTCCAGCCGCCACCATCACTCCTCCTCTTCCTCCACTCGTAGGTCCTCAGATTCGCGTAGAGACAAAGAAAAACCCAGCTCCTCCTCCTCTGATAGGTACCACACATCTTCACGGCCTTCCAGAGAATCAACAAAATATTCTTCCTCAACATCCTCTAGCTCAAGGTACAACAAAGATGGTTTCAAAAGTCCATCTACTTGCAGCTCTAATTCTTCCTCTCCAAGAAAAGCTAGCGAATCCTCAAAGTCTAATTCTAGCAGCAGATCTTCTACTTCTCATGAAAAGCATTCAGAAAGATTAGACAAATATAAGAAAGACAGTGAAGCGTCTAAGTCTGGCCACAAGGGAGCAGAAAAGAGCTCAAAATCTCATGAGGAGAAAGGGAAATTGCAACATACCGCAATTGTTGTGGAATTTAACAAGGAAACTGTTCGAGAGTTAAGAGAGGTTAGTGATGAAGGCTATGAAATTATTGACGCTGTGGATGATCAGAATTGTCCCAATGAAATGACTGAAGATACAAAGCAAATTTCAGAAGGTTTTGAAGTTGTGGATTCAGTCGATGAAGCAGATAAAACACAAGAAGAGGGAGGGGGGTTTGAAGAGTCTTTCCAAGTGCTAGACACTGTCACTGAAGAACAAGCCAAGGAAGAACCAAACAGTGAACATCTGTCTGCAGAAATTACAAACCAGGAATTAGATGCACCGCAATCTATGGATTCAAAACCAGAAACGAGAAACAAAAGAAAAAGAGATGACAATGATGGCGACGTTTGCTCAAAAACTACCAAAACAGATGACCAAGGAGGTACTGAACAAGAAACATTTGAGATCCTGGATTCTATTGAAGACCAAACTACTATAGAAGATCCACAAAACAATGAGAATGATGAGAAATTAGTTGAAAATGCAGAATTTCAAGTAATTGATGAGGTAGACGATCGACCCAAGTCTGATTCTGAATGTAAGATGAGTGAAACTACTAGCAGCAGATCAACAAGAAGTGGACGACAGACAAGAAGTGAGGAGAAGGAAAAATCACCAAAACGCTATGCACGAACCGCCAGAAAAACGGAAACAAAGAGCAAATGTGAGTCAAGTTCTTCAAGAATTGATGAAGAAATTATTGAAGAATTTAAAGTTGTTGATGTGGTAGAAGTAGAACCAGCACAAGATGAGGAAAAGGTGACTGTAAGACGTAGCACCCGCGGAAGGAGAGAGGAGAAGGCAGAGAAAGTTTTGGATTCAGCTGGAAACAGTTCTGAAAAACATGATGTGTCTATAAGAGAGAGAAGGTCCAGATCGGTCAAAACAGATTCCTCTACAGATGAAAAATTGCACAAAGATGATTCAAAATGCAAAGCAAGAAACTCACAAGAGAGACATGAACACAAAAAGGCAACAAAAGCTGGTAAAGACTGTAAAGAAAGTTCTGCTGATTTGGAGCAGGGTGCATTTGAGATTTTGGATGCTGTTGAGGAGGACAAAGCAACAGTTTCAGAAAAGTCAACAAAATTATCCAAAACAGATTTAGACTTGAATGAAAAATCGCCCAAAAATGAACCAAGCCATATTGGAAGGAAATCCAAGGAAAGAAGCGAAAGCAAATCAGCTGCAAAAAACAACAGTTCCACAAATTTGGAGCAAGGAGCATTTGAAATTTTAGACGAAGTTGCAGAAGAAACTGCCACAATTTCTGAGAAGTCCACTAGAAGAAAATCATCCAAAAGTGAGAAAGATACACCATCACGAAGTCGGCAAACTCCAGCAAAAGAGTCCCAAGAGACCAAAAAGGATGGAGGAGAAGAGACATACACAATTTTAGATTCAGTTGAAGTTTCAACTAGGTCTACAAGGCAAACAAGGTCATCCCAAAGAGACCAGTCCTCAGATTCGTCATTGAAACGCAATACGCCAACAAAACGTGGAAGAACTCCTGCCAGTGAAACAAAAAAATCGGACACTAAAGATTTGCCTAAAGTTGAGCTTCAAGAAGCAATCGAAGAGGAGTTTAAGATACTTGATGCCGTGGAAGACGAACCATCTCCAAAAGGGAAGAGGGGTAGGCTGATAAAGCAACCCCCAAAGAGTGCGTTGAAATCAGACAAAAAAATCATATCTCCCCTGATGGAGGAAAGTATGGTAGAGGAACATATCGAAAAGCAAGGCGAATCAGAAGTTGCAATGGAAATTTCAGAAGAAATTTTTAAAAAGGGGGTTGAGGAAGATGAGGAAGAACCAGTGTATGAAGTTATTGATTCATTAGAAGAAGATCAAATTGCAGAAGAACAGACTGCATGTATCGAAAATAACATGGAAACTCTAATGGTGGAAACTGGTAAAAATGTATCTGAAAATGTTGCAAATGCAGTGGAAAAACACATGGAAGAACTTTGCCAACATGATTCAAATAATGCAGATGATTTGGCAGTTAAAGATGGCAATATTGATGAAAAAGATGTTAAAATGCAAAAGGAAATTGGTTCAGTATCGAAGGACGGCCCCGAAAAACTTGTTGAAGAATCACCAAGTCGAAGTGTTGTTGAAACTTCTGAAAAAGAGCAAGAGCAATCTGGAAATTTGAGTGACCGTGCATCTCAAGATTTGGAGAATAAATCAGTTGATGATGCTGCCATTTTGGAAGTTGAAAAGACGGAAAAACAATCTACTAGAACAACAAGATCAACAAGAAGTGGGAGAGCCTGTCTCAGAGAGGAAATATCTCCAAAACAGCGAGCAAGCAGAAAAAGTGACACCAAACAAGAGTCAATTCAGAAAAATGAAAAGAAAAAGGCAGGAATTGTGGAAGCAAAATCAGAAAATCCAGAATCTATAACATTAAAATATGCTGTTGATGAGAAATATTGTGTTTTGGACTCTGTCGAAGATGAGAAAGAAGATGGAGAGCAAGTTCCACAAGCTGCAGCTAAGAGGAGGGGCAGGCCACGCAAACAACCCAGGAAAAGTGCTTTGAAATCTAATGATGTAGAACTAAAGTGTGTAGTTGTTGAAGATTTGAAGGAAGGCAAAACGGAGGATGTCTCAGAAAAGCAGAAACAGGAAAAATCTCAAACCATTTTGGAAGAAGTCGACAAAAATGAAGAAGATGAGGAACCATTATATGAAGTACTAGATGCTGTAGAGGAAGACCAAGAAGAGGACACAGAATCTTCTGAAATTATCGGTGCAACAGTTGAGGAAGAGGAAGGTTTGATCCAAAAAGATAGTCCGTCTAATGAACAGGACAAATTAGCTTGTGGAATTAGCCAAGAGATTGAAAACGCTGAAGTTGAAAATGTGAAATTGCAAAAACAAAATTTGGAAACACCAGAAGGAATTTTTGACCAGGCAAGTTCAGTAGAAATTGTGGAAAATGTACAATTTGTAGAAAAAGATTGTCAAGCTACAACTATTGAGACCAAACCTAAATCAGAATTTTCAAGAAGAGAAGAGACTAGAGTTGGAAAACCATCTGTTCATGATGAAACTAGCAAAATACTTCAATTTGAAATGGATCAAACATGTAATACAGCCTTAGAGAATAAAATGGCTCAAGAATTGGCCAATTTGATTAGTGCAGAGCGTCAAAAGGTTGATATGAATTTAGATGCAGTTAGCGATGAAGAGGATTTTCCAGAATATGTCACAGAAGAGGAAGATGGGTTAGTAATTTTAGATGAAATCGTGGAAGAAGAGGATGAAGAGACAGAGCTAAGAATCGAGGAGGAGGGGCAAAACATGGAAAGGGTAGAGCCTGGGGTGGATAGGGAGGAGCTAAAGACAGAGGAGGCGGGACTGGAGCAAAAAGAGGAGGGAGTGGAGCTGGAGCAAAAAGAGGAGGAGCTAAAGGAAAAGGAGGAGGAGCCTGTAAAAGAGAGGAAGGAACTAAAGGAGGAATATGTCCAAGAGCCATGCCTACTCACTCAGGACCAATCAGAACCAGCCAAGCCAGAAGTGAGTATTTTCATCACCATGGTAACTTTTATTACATTTATAGCAACATGGGAGTATTTAGTTTAGCTGAGTATTAGTTTTTATGTTGATGTGTTGACTTGGCTCCAAACGTTTACTAAAATTCAGTATTGTTGGAAAGAAAACTATTTAAGCTAATGGTTTGGTTTTTTAGTTTGCTTAATATATATATAGTAAGCCAAGTTTACCCACAAAATCTCTTTCTAGCCTTAAATTAACTTTTAATGGTTCATAAGCTTTCCAAATAATATTAATGACTCTAATTTTGAGTCAAATAGTAGAATTGTAGTTTTTCATATTCACACAGCTCTGTTTATACAATGGAAAGAAAACTAGATCTTCAGTTTTTTTATACATATGTCCTACCATATTGCAACAAGGCCTGTCATAATTACTATATTAACTTTTGTTGCATGACAACTTGCACTTTTTTTTGTACTAGTGGGTGTTTCAGAAATTTCAGATGTAGGTTAAGTTATGAACTTTTATGACTTATAGTTACAAACTAATTACTTAGGTGTTGCATTCTTATACTTATTTCTTATTTATTGCAGGTCATGTTTTTTGGCAATGTTGTAGATTTGAAAATACTTTTGGGGGGGAAATATGTGGCATTTGAATTTTTTTTATCATGACAGGTCTAATTCCAACTGAAATAGTGAGGCCGAATATTTGTCCCGCCTTACGCCCAAAGTAGCTAAATCTGTTCTCTTTTTAGATACAGGAAACTCCACCTGAATCTGCAGAGGAGGAGGCTGTGACTGCAAGAGAGTTTCAAGAAACAGACCTGACCAAAGCAGTCAAACGCAAATATGAAGAAGACACAGGTATGATCTTGTGGTTTACAACTGTTCTAGAAGTTAAATTTAAGGAACTAATTGAACTAATTAGCAAAAAAGTTGGTTCAGTGGTTAAATTATGTGGGAGCTTTGCCTTTGTGGCTGGATGAATATGCCTTTGTGACAGTGGATTTTCATTTCAGAAGAAGTTCCAACCTTTGTGACAGTGGATGAAGTGGGAGAAGAAGAGATGGAGGAGCAGACTCCAAAAGGCAGAGGCCGGGGTCGGAAGAAGGGCAGAAAAACACCTGGTAAGTTTACAACAGATATTTCACTTTTCATTCTTTTATGATTCATTAATGAGTTTACCTTATTTTTACAGTTATTTGTTCTGTATAAATAAAGGGAATTGGATTACTTAAAATATATTTAAAAAATGTTTTTCCAGTGAGAAAATCCACTCGTGGCAGAAAGGTGGCCCAAAGAGACGATGAGCTGGAGGAGGGTCAGACAGAGCCAGTGGAGGGCGAGGCCTTGCCCAGTTTGAGTGCTGAACCTGGGGAGAAGGAGCAGGAGACTGCCCCCTCTCTGGAGCTCCAACCAGGGACTGAGAGCGAGGTAGAGGCAACCCAGGGCCAGTCTCTAGAAATGGGCATGGAGACAGATGTCAGAGGTACTTATCATACTTTTTTATAAATTATAAATTCTGACAGATTAATTATTATGCAGCCAGTATTTATCATAAATACGTTTTCTTTACATTATTGGGATATTTTTGGTTATTTTTTGCAATACGTTATTTATTTATTACAGCTGATGATTGTAACAATATTGTACATTTATAATAGTTTTTTGAGGATAATCCTGCTTTAGAGTGTCAGTGGCATGAATTTCAATATTATCGTTTTTTGTCTTTATTTATTTCAGCTATACATCAAACTTTTGAAGTTTATTGTCACAGGCCTAACAACATGAGACACCTTTGCAGTGATCTTTTCGTTAAGAAAGGGGCACATTGTAACTTTTTTAGTTAGGAGTCCAGCACCTGCTTGCTTCCATGAAGAAGTTTAATGCACTGGTGACATGCCATCTCCAAACATGTACCGTATTTTCTGCACCATAGAGCGCGCTCTTAAGCCTCCAACCCCAACAAAAAACGACTGCGCGCTCCGCAATCCAGAGCGCCCTATACACGAATCCATTTGAGTGTCCCAGCACGACTTCAGTAAATTACAAAACCGCACCACCTGCAGCGCACGCAAACACACACGGAGCAGACAGTGACCGCTCAGCAAACAACACCCGCAGCCACACTCATCACTCCACGCAGACGAGGAACGGAATGGAGGAACGAACCAAAAAAGCGAGTGCGGAAAATATTTTTATTTGTCACTTAGATACGAAGATGTACAGAGCAGTGGGGGTGTATGGGAGAGTAGGGGAACAATCTTGTCTTCAATGCAGCAGAATAAAGATGGTTAATGTTCTCTTAAAAGCTCTTAAAAGTCTTGCAAACTGTCTTGTGTTTCCAGTTGGCAGTAAAAGGAAGAGTTTCCCCATGGACCTGTACACGAAGCGCTCTCGATCTCAGTCGCCTTCTGTTCGATCAGACACAAAACTACCCCCGTTCAGACCCAACCACCCACTCGGTAAGATCCATTAAAAAAAAAAACATTTGCACCTAAAGCATACAACGTTGTATAATTATCACTTCAGTTCACTTCAATGTCTTTAATGCGTCTAATTTTTACTGCTTTTAAAAAGGGTGGTTCAAAGTTAGTACTCACTTACCTTATGCATTCAGAACATCCCATTTATTCAACACAAGTTTACAAATGCTTTTCACATCTCTACAATATTTTTCTGACACCTGGTAAATTTACAGCATTTAAAATATAGTTAGTATTTCATTCTTTTATGTTTACCTTATTTTTACAGTTTTACTTTTATTTATTGGCTGTAACTACTATTTATTATTTTAGGATATGCTGTTGCTGTTTTGGTTTTTTTTCTTTCTAAAATGTTGTAAATAAATAAAATGAAATGGATTGGATAATTGATTGCAAAAAATATTTTAGTTTAAATTATATGATTAATTTTAAAGTTCACATTTTAAATGCATTCAGAAGAATTTACAAAAAGATATAACTAATACATAAATTACATTTCAGAACATGTTTGTACAAATTTAAACTACAGGGTTGGCGGTTTTTATGCAGAATAAGACACTATATTATGTTTCTGGAGGAAATAATAGGACGAAAATTGCAGCCTTTGATTTGGCTCGTCTGTTCAAATTGCGCTTTTGAATTGATTGCAATTCAGCAAACCCTTTTAGTTCAGACCTCTACAAACATGTTCTGAAATACATGACATTCTTGGGTGTCAGTTCAGATTTTGGTCTGTTTTGGGTTTTCAGGTCAGGACTTTGTGGTGCCAAAGTCGGGTTACTTCTGTAACCTTTGCTCTGTGTTTTATCTGACTGAGTCCACGGCCCGAGAGCAGCACTGCAGCAGTCGACGCCACTATGACAATCTCAAGGTACCAACAATGACATAAATACAAATACATAAAAAAAAACTCTTGATACTTTGCAAATGATGTCATCAACATTCCCTGGGGGTGTGAAGTTAACTTGAAGCACTGCTCTGTCTCAAGTTACTCAAGTTAGACTTTTATCTGGGCTATTTAAACAAACTACGGAACATTTCTCCATAGATTTGATGGCACTGCAAAGTAAAGAAATGTGGAAATGTGTTGGAGGGTCTGCCACCTGCTTGTCTGTATGGAGTTGATGCTTTGCCTAGAACATTGCATAGTATGGCAATTTTCCTGGAATATGTAAAATCCCACAGTATAGCTTTAATCTAGTCTATTTCCGTGGTGACAAGCAGGTGAAGTTATGGGTCAGATTTGTGGACAGTAAGAATGCATCACATTTGTTTTTTTCCCCACAGAAACATTTGGAGAGACAATCCCGAGCTGCAAGTGAATTTTGAAGACTTGGATCACACTGATTTATAACACCAAATATTCACATCATATTATTCTAAATTTGGACAAAAGACTACAGTACATCTCTTCATTTGTGCCTTGTTGTAACTTGTATTGCACAGTTTGCCTCTGTTAAATGTTAAATATTTCTTATATGAGCTGCACATTTGTATTGCCAGTGCCATTATTTTTAAAAGTGCACTATGTAACTTTCTGGTACAGGATCACAATCACATGTCATTGCTTTGCCTGGAATGTTCCACAGTATGGCATTAAATCTATCAGTCTCCAAATAAGAATGCATGTTTTTGAAGTTTGAGTTATAAAAAACACCTGTAATTATTAAATACATGCAAGCTAGATAAGTTTAATGCCTTTCAGTGGAACATTCCAGACAATGCAACAATATCTAACATCTCCACGGAGACAAGGGAGTGACTCATCAGAAAAGTTTCATAGTGCAACTTAAAATTTTGGATGATAAACGGACAAAATAAGACCTCTTCACGCATACTTTAGTTGTTACAGGATTTCTACTGAACAGAATGCAACCAGCAAGAGGTAAGTATTTTATAGATTTCAGGATGCTATAAAAATAAGAATATCCAGTATATATTGTCAGGAAAACTGTGAAAAAGCTGCTAAAAAAACAGAAAGTCATCCATGCAAGGATCATATTTCTTTAGTGTTCTTTAGTTTGATAGACCATGCCTCCCAAGACATTGTAGCACATTTTTGATGGAAAAATATGATCTGATTATTAAAAGGCGAATCCCAAAATAAGACATTTATTCATTAATTGTCAGAGTTGGCAGCCTACAGCTGGATTCAGACCAGGACTAAACCAGGACTAAGCCAGATCTACCGTTCTCTGTGAAAATGTGGAAGACTAAACCAAAAGTATCTGGAATTAAAATACAACTAAACCAGGTCTGAAAAAGAATTTGAAGTGGTCTTAAATTTCTCTGAACTGAGGCCAGGTCTAAACAACGACTAAACACTTAAAGTGTGTTCCATAGAGGGTCTAGGATTTGGTTTAAGGCAGGTCTAAACCAGGACTTTTGTAGGCATTATCTTTTTTTGAGTGCACTTAATTAAACATTTAGTCTGACCTCTTCCTTTTGAGTATTTTGTTATCAACGTTGGTTGATCAAATATTTAGTATATTTCAAAATGTGAAAAGATTGAAAGTTTTAAGTATGATTCAAATTGTGTTCAAATTGTTTGAATCCCATCTTGTATTTTTCTGTTGGCTCTGGCACATATGGTCCACTGTTTAAATGTAATGAGACAGAGAATTATGTAGATAAAGAAAAACTTTCTATTGGAAAGGGTCCAAATAGTTTATTTCTCCTCTTGTACATTATTTTGTATATAAACTACTGTTAAACTGAATAAATACATTTTGATGATATTCATGTTTTTGTTTTTTAATCTACAGTACCAACTAATTAAAATTAAATACGCCAAATTACTTATAACAGAACAAATATATAACAGAACAAATAATTTACATTGAAGTGATTGTTTTCAGTACATAGATTGTGCATTTTTAAATCCTGCTCAAAAATGCCTACAAATGTGGATTTTTGTTGTGGTGGTCTTGTCTCCACAGATCTGACCTGTGACAGCCTGGTGGCATTGTGTCATGTCTCTATGGAAATTGATACATTTAATGCCATATTATGGAACATTGCAAGGAAAAGAACACATTTTTCTTGCCTCCATGAAGATGTGATCTTATTTGGTTTGCTAGTTTCACTGCTGAAATCCAGTTGGTTTAAACTTAAAAGGGAGTCTGATCTCAATCTTCATCACCTAAACCCCAGTGCCTGCTAAACCCCAGTGCCTGCAGCTAATCATGAATCAGAGCTAGTGCAGCCTCTGCAGCTGCAGTACACGTTGTCCATCTACTGAGAATGAGGAAAAAGTCAAATGTTCAATAAAGAATGTCTAATTGCAAGTGATCAAAACAATGACACATATGAATTTGACATCTTGTTTTAATATGAATATTTTATGCAAGTTATATTTTTTATGCATTGCTACACTTTAATATTCAAGACACGTTTTAGACAAATCTGAATGATAATTTGGAACTGATTTCAGAATATGACTCATTCGTTGTGGAGCAGATCTTGAACAGCTCTTTCAGTGAATCAAATCAAACAATGACTGTCATTATATATCACAGTATAATCACAAAATAACTGGTAATTGGTAGCAAATTTCAATCTATAAATCAGAAAAATAAATCAAAAATGTAAAGTGCTTTTTTATCCATGTGCTTATATCACATTAACTTTCTCATTAATAAAGTTGGATTTGAGAAAGCTGCTCACATAAAGAGGAATGCTGATTTATTAGACAATGTGAATAAACTGAAATGAAGAGGGGGTATTTATTACACTTCTGTTGTGGCATTAACTGCTGCCACCCACTCCTCCCCTTGTTCCTCAAACAGTCACTCTCCCTTCAGAGCGCTATCACAACACAGTCAGCATGCATCTACTAATGAAACTACTTTACATCGCATCAGGTTTGTGAAGTTGTAGTGTATTGTTTAGTTTCAAGTTGTTTTCATGTCATGGTCAATAATCATATTTCCTCTCTCAGTAATCTAGAATTGGTTATGGTCACATCTCTAATTTCAAACTGCCTTAATTTGGGTGGCAGGCGCTATGTAAGGTTCACTGTTCTAATGCTTGGAGAATGGCCTTCAAGATAGAAGCCACCGCCACAGCGCCAGGGTCCGGCTCGTTCACTCTCTCACTGCTGATGTAGCTCGCTCTCCCAGCTTTGGCCGTGAGGTCAGAGGTCGACTTTGCACCAAGAGATGCTTTCTGACAAAAGACAGGATGGAGACTAAATCTTAAGTTTTATATTATTTATAATTCTTCTGAATGTTAAAAGTCCTTAAATCATCATAGCCAGAGTATAGGCAGAAATAGCAATGTAACTGAATAAAAAATGATTCCAATCCTAATCTGGACTACACAGACTCTAAAACACAAACAGACCTTTTTATGACATAACAGTGGAACAATTAAATGAAAATGTAAAAAAGAATAAACTATTTCAGATTTATATCAATAACTTGTTTGTAAATATTCTCTAATTAGAAGCCTTCAGTGACCATATTTCATCCTTTATTTGGATGATAATAGATGTATAGATTGACAATAGAAATAATCATTTGATTAGTTGAAAGGAAAACTTAATTGCTTACTAGTTGATTGTCAAAATATTTTTTAGTTGCAGGCCAAAGGTCAGATGTCTCTAGTCTCTAGGACCCATATTACAATATTTTCAATGTTGTTTCCTCATCAAAAACATACCGGGAGTTTTGTTTTATTCACACACATTTAACATACAAACTGCATATTTAAGTTGAGTTCTTCCCTCAAACAGTAAACACACTGTTCCACCTTGTCAAAGCCTGATCTTGTCAGGTCTCAGAAGCTAAGCAAGGCTGGGTAGTACGTGGATGGGAGACCGCTGGGAATTCCAGGTGTCACAGTGGGATGCCAATTGGATAATTTCACCCCTGGAACTGACCAGCTCTACTGAAGCTTTGGAGCTGCTGACAGATTAATAATAAAGCATTGCTCAGTGAATGAAACAAAACGCAACTCCAGGTAAGTTTTTGATGAGGTAACAGCATTATAAAATGGCTTAAGCCAGACAAGAGTAAATTTTGTGTAATAAAGGACGTTTAAAACAGCTTAGTCCATATAGAACTTATTTGCTCAGAGAGCAGCAGTCCTATGCAAAATAATAAAACCCAAGTGACAATGGTAGCTTCATGGCAACTTCCAGAATAAGATGAATAAGCCTACCTCCACCGCTACTCGTAGTATTCGCATGTGTTCAGCAGGGGCCGCTGTGGTGAGCTTCATCAGTTCATCTGCTGCAGGGCACAGAGCGTCCAACTGAAGAAGGTGAATACATGTTTTGTGGTTGGATAAATAAAGTATAAAATGAAGTGACTTGTGCATCTTCATTTTGAGCTCACCATTGTTCTATCCCCAGGGTCTGCACCACCATATCTGAAAAACACAGTAAACGTTGGACTTAAGGCGCACTATGTAACCTTTCTGTGTCCTCCACATGCTTGTTTCCATGGAGATGATTCTACTTTGCCTGGAAAGTTCCACAGTAAGACGTTCCATGGAAATATGCAGGAGATGCCACCAAGTCAAGTTTCCCTGCTCTCATTAAGATAGTAAATACTTTTTTTTATACTTTTCGGACCTTCTCATGGCCTGTGTCCCAGCATGCACTGCTCTGGCCCAGTCGCCTGATTGGTTCTTCTCCTGAGTCACATGACCTGCCGCCGCCGTCAGGAACAGGCTGTACATCTGCGGTCACACACGTTTTTACTTGTACACAAAACGGAGACGAATAAGTCAAAAATAAATTTATGGTAAATGTGGGAATAATTCATTTCAACATTGATGAATTATTCCTACAGTTAAAAACTGAGCTGGAGAACAGGTCAGAACTATGTCGTGCATTTGCTGTTTAACTGTCAGACATTTTATTTTTATTTTTTAGAAAGTGGTTCCATTATTCAACCCCAAAGATGTGATCGTTGTCAGTTGAAGGACTTCAAAAGACTGAAATTACAAGTTTGTGGACTCAATCTCAAACAAATAATGATTAGATACAGCATTTGTAGAGCATAAGTTTGGATATTTATTTCAAGAACAGTGAATTTCCCTTTGAGTTATTAAGGCCCACACCCCCATCTGAAATGATAATATAATGGAATTCCAAGTAAGTTTCTGTAACCAAGCATGCCTTATATGGACTGTAATAGACTGTAGGGAGATACATAATAGAGTAAAATAAAAGTCATGTGACATACCGCTCCTGATGACCCGCCCATTTTCTCCTGGAGCAGAGCGGCGATGACCTGCAGCAGTCGCCCAGGGCAACCTGGGGTCACGTGACTATTGCGCCACTCCTGGATGGCTAAAAGTAACATTAACAAGTGAAGGCTTCATTTTTCTCTATGGGATTTAAATAATTTTGCCAAATATTGTGTCAACATTGCCTTTCTTAAACTTTAAAGTTTACAAAAGATTTTCACGTTTTATTATAACTTACTTTGTTCTAAACTTCAACAAAAAGCTCAAAAGAGAAAGAACCATGCACCCAGATAACTATAATTTAGGTGATAGTGCAGACAACAATGTATTCACTCCTAAAAACTAAATCATCTAATTACTAGATTAGATTAGAAGAGAATTGAAAAATTAATTTCTATGACTCATTACTGAGTGATGTCACTTTGCAGTGACATCTCGCTGGGAGGGTGTTTCTATGTATTTCTATGGCAGAACCATGGCAACAAATGGTAACTGATGAACATTAGCAATATCTACCAAAAAAGATTTTTAGATTGTCTGAAAACTCATCTGAGAACAAATGTTATTTGAGAGACTTGTTTAAGTGCACAAGTTAGATCACCTGTTTCTAGCTCCAAACAAGTCAGCTCTTTCTGGTCAGATTGTGTTAAAACCTCAGATTTAAGTCTAACTGAGCTTCAGACAGAGCAGAGCCTACAGTTAGCATTATACTCTCAAGGAATGTTGATGACATCAGCTGCAAAGGACCAAGAGACAAAATTAACTACTGTTAACCAGTCACCTCTGGCCGCCTGAGCGTGAGTGTTTCCGCAGTCTCCATCTCCAGAGGCTCTGTCCAGACGGTTCAGCTCATCCTGGATCTGAAGAAGACCAGAACAGACCTGGTCCAGTACTTGACCCAGGACTGGACTCAGCGGACCTAGGAACAGCACAGTGAGAAACCATTCACATGCCCTGGGGCGGTCTGACCGACGTGTGGCTTTTGATTCTTTGCCTTCAGCTGTTACAACTGATTAATCATTCACAAAGATTTCAGCACTGCCACAGATAAGGTGACTGGGTTCATTTTCTTTATATCAAAACCTAAATTAATAATTGATTACTAGCTTCATATTCAAGCCTCTAATGAAACAGTAACATTTTAAAAAGATAAGGTATAACTTGTATTTCAGATTATATATACATAGCCTATTTGAGTACCAAATCTGAAGTACAGTTGTTCAATCCAAATACAGCTTTTATTGAAATGTAATAAAGATTAATTATTGATTACAAAAACACTGGACATAATGGCCAAGTTCTTTATGTTTGGTTTTCGTGTTTTGGTTGTCAAGATGATTATCCAATCAGAAATCAGCGTAAGCCTCACATGAGTCTGTTATTTGGGTTGCCAGTTTCTATAACTTGTTAGTTTAAACCTAAAATGCCTCTCTCTGATCTGAAAACTCACTAAATCACAGCACCTGCAGCCAATCATTAATAGCTCTAAGTGCTAGTGCAGAATTCTGGAGGGTTTGAGCTTTCATGTGAGATATGGCCTGTTCATAGAAAATCCTGTTTTGTCCTCTATATATAAAATAATGAATACATATTTTAAGCAGTGGTCTAACCTTCTGAATAAGCCTGGTCTTGGGGTCTTGCAATGAGAGGAGGAGGATCCATGGAGAAATCTCGTCCACTCACAGGTTCAGTACTGAGATTGGGCCAGGCAGGGGCGCTGGTTTTAGAATCTATGGAGCAACAAAGTAATTTTACAGGAATGACGTGAATCTTCAAATTCAGGAATGAGATTAAATATAGGACTACCAAAGAGTCTGAGTCTTTCCGGGTTTGTTTTCATTAACGTCAAAGAAACTCCGGACATTTCCAACGAAGTCATGAACGAACCCGACATCACACGTGCTACAGTCACGCCCCGACCCTCTGTCAAAAACATACAAAATAAATCTACATTTTGTCATTTTAAAGAAGACATATTGTGCTTGTGTCTGCTACATAGTTGTTGCATAATAGGTCGGCTTTAAAGCCCCCCAAAATATGTTACAATTTATACAACTCATTTCACAGTAAACATGGTTAACATAATTATTTTTATTTATTTTAAGATAAGGCTCATCTGAAACGGTGATAAGTCTGTCTACAGGAGTGAGGTGGACATATCTAAATGACACAGTTATGCTGGGATTCATTTAAAATATAACACTTTTATTTTATTAAATGAAAGTTAAAACTGTCAGAAAAATACCTTCCTTTGGCATAAATTAACCCTGCATTTTGGAATTTACAGCGCTGATGACATAGGTAGAGGTATTCTGTTTTTTTACTTACTGTATTTTTGTGTTTTTCGTCTCCACTTTTTTTCCACAAACTGCCACTAAGCTCATATAAAACTAAAATAAATATTTACCACAATAGATACTATCCAACTGAACCAAGTCATAATAAATATAAATAAATAAAACCTGTCAAATGTACTCACCCAATGACAAAATGGCTGCTCGAGTGACCACTGCCAGCTCCAGACAGGACAGAGCTCCCAGATTATTCACACAAACTATTACAGAGTCACCTGTTAAACAAAAACAAAGACTAAGACTAAACCAGGACTAAACCAGAGCTAGACCAGGCACTGAACCACAAGTAGACAAAGCCTAAACCAGGACTAATGTAGGACTGAACCCAGACTGAACTCATGACAACAAAAATACTAAAATAAGGGTGAAACCAGGCACTAAACCTAGACTAAACCAGGACTGAACTAGGCTACAGACAAGGACTGAACAAGGATTGAACAAGGACTAAACCAGGACTAAACCAGAACTAAACCAGAACTAAACCAGGATCTAGCTTTGGAACCTTTAGATTACCTGATTTGAGTGGCAGATGTGATTGGCTGTCAGCGTTTGTCATGTGATCGATCATTGTTTTCACGACTTCATCCGCACTAGTGATCTTTTGGATATAATAATAATAATTTTAAAATCATCAAAAAGTCAAATTAACACACACATTCATATAAAACACGCCATCTCACCTTTGACCTTTTAATGCCAGGTTCACCATGAATACCTGAAAGACAATTTTTATGTATTTATTTTGTGGTTTTATTAAAATGTTATAACATGGTTAAAATCTTTAGAACAGTGAATCTGTGAGCAGGTTGCCTTGACATTCCCATGGTGATAAAGATGTTTAATGCTATACTGTGGAACAAGGCCGGGCCTGGTTAGTACACAGCTGGGAGACCGCTGGAAATATCAAGTGCCACTCTGGGGGGCGCCAGTCACAAAAACTGTTGTTGTGTCCTCCTTACACAAGACACTTCTTCCACATTGCATAGTATGAAAGTGGTGTGTGTGTGTGTCTGATGGTGGTGGTCAGAGGGGCTGATGGCGCAGATTGGCTGCCTCAATTCCATCAGTCTGCCCTAGGGCAGCTGTGGCTACAATAGTAGTTTACCACCAGTGGGTATGGAGTGAATGAATAATGCTCTGTAAAGGGTCTTTGTGTGTCCAGAGAAGACCTATATATAACTGATGGCAAATCAATCAAGCAAATCAGTAATATCTTTAGACTAGCAGATGGAGGACCCTCCACTAGAAAAGTTGCATAGTGCACCTTTAACTATAAAAAAAAAAAAATACATAAACGAAAATTTCAAGCATAAAGTAATGACTCATTGACTTCAAGCTAAATAAGTCTGTGGTCTTACCCAGGCCAAGCTCCATGTGCCCTGGTGGCAGCTCAAACGTGGGCCCAGATCCGGGCACACTGCAGGGGGACAGACTCACTCCCAGAGTCCCTGAATTCAACCACACACAACCAGCGCATTACCTCACTGTGAACTTCATGAGTGCAAAAAAATACAGTGCATTCACAACATTCAGGAATTTGATGTAATAATTTTAGATGGAGGGGAGTGCCCAGTAATATTTGATACAGTTGGGGCAAAAATGTTTTTGAAACAGTGAATTTTTGGGTCTAGTTTCAAATAGAAATGGTCATTTTCAACATTTGTGAATTTATAAGACTAGAGGATGCTGAGGTGATCCCAGGATCTCAATGGTAGCGACTGAATGTGCCTTTTTCCTTTATTTGTTAATTTATCTTTTGGATTTTTCATGGCAATGTGCAGTGTAATCAAAAGGAAAATTTGCTTTTGCCCCCATGTTGGATTATGACATCATAAGACAGAAGCTGAAAACCACCAACAAAACTCTCGGGGAGATTTACTTTTATAAGCAAACAGAAAACCCACAAATGTTACGCACTATCATTCTTTATCTGTAACTGGGTTTTTAACCTTTATTCTGCTATATTTATAAAGCAGAGATAAAAATTTAGAATTAACTGAATTAATGAATAAAATAAAACAAACCGATTTCCTTCAGGGCCTCGTTCACTGTTGAAACTATTTGGTCCAACGACTTTCCCTCTTCTGCCAAAGATCCAGCCAGCTACAAAACAGAGGATTTGTTATAATAGTAGTACTAGTATTAGTAGGAGCAGAAGCAGAAAAGGTACAACCAACAGTAACAGCAGTAACAGTAGCGTTAGCAGTAGCGTTAGCAGTAGCAGTAGCAATAGAATTACTTGCAGTAGTAGTAGTAGTAGTAGTAGTAATAGTAGTAGCAGTAGTAGTAGTTGCTTTACTCAGCCTCTTGAAGGTACTGTCCTGAACCAAAACTCCAGTAGTGGATGTGGCAGTAATGCTATTCACAGTAGTAGTAGTAGTAACACACAGAACATAATTACATTGGCCTTTTTTAGTTTATTTTAAATTGGGTTTCGTACAGGAGGCCGCTGCTGCTTTATTTCTAATCAGAGAAGAGCAGACACAAAAGACACGTATGGGGACCCTTGATTTGGTGATTAAACATTTTTCACATCATTGGAAGTGAGGCTGCTAATCTGCCCCATCGGCCCCCCCAATCACCACTAATCACTCAGGGAAACCACTGCTCCAACCACTGAGCCACTGTCACTTCAATCGCAGTAGTAGTACTCTAGTAGTATTTGTATTAGCAGCAGGTGTGCTCGCAGTAGTACTTCAGAATTACCTTATGAATGAACAGCGTCCCACAGAGCCCTCTCCGTCCAGCTTTGGTGGGCCTCTCGAAGGCACAGTCCTCAGCCACGATCACCATGGCGACCCGAACCCCCAGGACCAGAGCCTGCTCCAGGGCCAAGCCAAAGTTCAGCCTGTCACCGGTGTAGTTCTTCACGATGAGGAGCACGCCTGAGCAGCCTGAGGCACCAGGGTCAAAGAAGTGATAGAAATGGAGTTAGCATAAATTCAGCCTGGAAGATCTAACTTCGTTCACAACTACCTCACCCCCAGAGTTTACCTGCTCCTCAGCCTTCATCACCTCATCCAATCAGTTCCTAGTCTGAACAATTTAAACCCCCATGGCAGATGCACGGCTAATTCAGTTTGTGCTGCACCCCACCTCCTCCCCAGCAAACCCACGACTTCTCGTGATCTCATCGTCCCCTTCACTCTCCTCATCCTCACCTCACCCCAGGGTGGAAGACATCTACCAAACGTCATCTAATTGGCCATGTCTGGTCTGAGCGCCAAAGTTACCTCATTAAATAAAACTACTAATACTTTCTCTTTGTGTCTGTGTGAGTCTCTCCAGGTTGAAATGCAAAGTTGTGTAGGTCTGACCCCTTCAAATCAGTGGCTACATGAAACTTATCACAGTGGTTACATCACATGTTCATACAAATTCTTTTCAGATTACATACACTATATTTAAAGAATGTCAAAATCAGTTCACAATTCAAATATCCAAATGTACTCTGTAAGAGCAGTGTTTTGAAATGTGAAACTGAGGCACAATATCTAAATTCCTCCTTCAAATCATTCCACAGTGTTACCCCGCCAATTGGCAAACTGAAATTTCTCCTTGTGGTGCATAAAATCTGTGTTTTAAAGTTAATTTGGAGCCTCCTTTTGGATACTGGTTGGTAGAAGCTTATCTTTGGCTTTGAACATTAATATTGCTGTATAATAATTTATTAAATCATTTAGTTTGAGTAAGGTGTTTTTTAAAACGAGAGTATTGGTGTGATCAAAAACAACAAGATTAAGAAGCAATAACATCTCCATGGAAATACGTCAGTGGTTGACCCTCCGCCAGAAAAGTTACAAAGTGGACCTTTAAAGCACACAGTAGGGCTTAGGGTTTACCTGCATTGTGTAGAGTGAGGATTGCAGCCAAGATGGCCGCCGGAGGAGGAGAGGCAAACACTCCTCCAGCCACAACCGCAGACAGCATTCCCGCTCCCACGAAACCTGAACAGGAAACACAGTGAGACTGAAGGGGACAAAATTCATCCGCAAGATCATTTCAAAATGGTTGTTTTTAAAATTAAGTATTTGAAAACAGATTGTACAGAGAAAAAAAACTTGTACTCTACCAAGTAAACTGCACTTAGATACAAACGACCCTGTGATTAATTTATTGCAACTTTATTGCAACAAACAAAAACAATGTTTTTAACAATATTGCACATTTTAGTTCTTTTAAACAGACCAGGGTGTTTCTTCAGAAGAGAGATGTTACAAAGAAGGATGCAGAAGTCACCTGAAACTTGCCACGGAATGAGTAAGCTGTTTAAAGAATATTTAGTTAATAATTAAATGTACCATAATGTTAAAAAACTTAAGAAAATAACAGTCAGAATGCCAAAATGAACCTCTTTGGTCTATATTTTCTTCAGCAATATATCATACTTCAAAATGGTAATGTACATATGTCATTAATCATGACAAATTGTGAAATGGTGATGTTTCACTATAACCGCAACACTCGTTTGATATTGTGAGTCGTGACACTATAGCACCAGCCCTACCTCCATGTGCCGGCTCGTGCCCAGACCCCCCTCCAGACAGAAGCCCCACTTTCCCACGCAGACTGTGGACATCTGAACGTACCACGACCCTGTACCCCTGGAGCAGACAGAGACCAGGGCTGGACCAGACCAAACCCAGCAGGGCCTGGTCCACACAGGAGGCTGGGGAGTTCAACAGCTTCTTCTGGGGCTGGAGAAAACAGGGGCATGACACATAACATCATATTTATCACTATGGTGGAATTTGCTGTTTAAAGGCCGGGCCAAGTTACAAGTTAGATCTGTGGAGAGGTAATCCCACCCAAAGACAGAAGGCAATGTAGGGTATTTTGACAGGGCGTCTCACGTTACGCAAAACACTTGAAAATCGCTCTTTTCTGGTTCCATTCAGCCTCTCTCTCTTCAGTTACGTGGTTTTATGTCTGAAAAATACCTTGAAAGACAAAGTGTGAGAACCCCTCTCCTTGCATCTGGCCTTAAACTTGGCCTTTTAGTGCCAGTGCCACCTGCTTGTTTCTATGGTGACAAATAAGTGTAATGCCACTACGTGTAACATTTCAGGCAAAGCAGTAACTAAACCTACGGAGACGAGCGTGTGGAAGAGCACCATTCATTTTGCACTTGAAATATTATCTTTCCCAGCTTGGACTCTGACCTGGTCCTAAACGTTTGGATGATTAACTGCGTAAAACCCAAATCTCATCCAAAATAGTTGTATTTTTAATTAGAACAAACGCAAGTAAACCCTCTCAATAACTTAAAAGTGTAATCAAGTCACACGTTATGTGTCCAATGTGCGTTTGTTTTCATGCAAATGACACGCTGCAGGAAACATGTCTTGTAAAGCTCTTAATAATAATAAGTAGTAGTAGCCTACAAACTACAATGCACGCTTTAAGTATATGAGTATATAAGAAGTATTGGTTGCAACAAATCACGTTCAAGCTAAACGTTGTGCAACAGGAGCTCTAATCTAATCCTAACGCAGGGACCAGGCTAATGCCCGTGTTTAATCAACTGTGTTTATGAGTATTCCTGTGAATCTGGAACCGCTTTAATAGTAACCGCTTTTCCCCCTGTTCTCCTCACCTCCATCTCCGCTCCTCTTCCTCAAAAAACAAATCTCTAGATTTACGCAAACAAAATCCGGAAGGAACCCTCCACAATAAAAGGCCAAAATGTCCAAATAAAAATAAAAGAACCTGACAAAAGTTGACTAAGGTCGTTTTCACACCGCTAGTTCGATTATTTGGTCCGCACCAGGCAATAAAATTGTTATTAAGGAGCAAATACACTCTATTGTGGTCCGCGTTCACACCGACAAACGAACTAAAACTGGTTTGATTGACGTGTCTCTGTTTCCCGGGAAACCAGCGATACCTCCAATTATCAATACCGCGGTGTCGGCGGCAAGGGGGGGCATTTCAGGGCCGTGCCCCCCCCTAGCGGTCACTGCTACTTTAGCCTAAAGCTCCACACAGGAAATGGCGAAGACAGAGTCAAAGAGCGACACACTGACAGACCCGTCGCCGGGATCCGGAGCTGTCGCTACGTATTTCTCACGCTAGGCTAAGAGCAGGACATTTTTTAAATATTAATTAAATAGGCTATTGCCTATTGCCATAAAATTATTTGGTTAATTAATAGTCTAAAATAAGAAATGCTGGTTGCTGCATGATCACGGGGAAAACCGGGATCTCCCTGTGCGTGCAGGTCCTGAACAGGGGTACGCACCCCCAATTTTGACTCACTCTGAAGCCACACGTTCGCACACTGATACTTGCTCAGATCTTCGTGTGTTACATTCTCTATATTGGCCATTGTTGGCAAAATATTTCGAAAAAGAATCGCGGCTGCGTCTGAACAACAATTTGTTACTGCACTGGAGACGTACAGCGCGTCATTTCAGGCAGAGGAGAGGTATCCTCCCATGATGCATCTAGAATAGTTCGTTTGGACCTACTGTCTATGGTTTGGACCCGAGTTCGCGTTCACACCAGAGGAACCGCACCAAAGTTGGTCATTTGGTGAGGATTCAAGCGTACCGAGACCTCCTCTTTTTTAGGTCTCGGTCCGCTTGATTTGGTTCGGGTCCGAGTCCGATTGACGCTTTCACGCCTACGCAAACGAACCGAACTAACCACATTTTGGTCGTTTTCACACCGCTAGTTCGATTATTTGGTCCGCACCAGGCAATAAAGTTGTTATTATGTAGCAAATACACTCCAGTGTGGTCCGCTTTCACACCGGCAAACGAACCAAAACTGGTTCGATTCACGTGTCTCTGTTTCCCCGGTAAAATAGCGATACTCCAGTTATCAACACCGATGTTCCTGTTAATATCACGGGCCGTCCTCATCTCAAATTATCACCATGAACTCATAAAACAGCAACATGTAGAACTTTGTACAAACTCACCGCATCAGCCCAGAGTTCGGGTAACAGCAGCAGCCAACAGCGCTCACAGTAGCGCGCAGCTCCTCAGGACGGGGCTGGGGTCTGGTCCTTGGTCTTCTGTTACAAGCTCGTTGGTCAGATGGTCCGGAGGCTTCATCCTCCATATGCTGGTTCCAAACAGTGGCGAGAAAGACCAGTGCGCAATGACTGGGTCTGAGCGGGTACGTTCCGTCGTCTGCGCGCTGGTTCTGTGCGGGAAAGCGAGAATGCGCTGTGGACTACAGGTCCGGGCGCGCTGCTCCGGTTCTCCGCGCTCAAGAACCGCAGCTGGTTCCGAGGTGGTGCAGCATCCGGACAGAAGCGTGAGTCCAGTTTGGTTTGTTATATGTTGTTCTGAGCGTCTGTCCTCCGCGCATTTGGTTCTTCCCGGGGAAAGCGCTTCCTCAGGTCGAGGCTCCCCGCTCCAGCTCCTCTGAGCCCGGACTGAACTGGAGCTGCCCCGGCTGGTTCGGGACTCTGGTTTGGATCTAGTCCGACTGTATTTCTCACACTAGGCTAAAAGCAGGGACTTTTTTAAGTTGTATCAATTGAATGGGCGATTGCCTATTGCCATAAAATTATTTGGTTAATTAAAGCCTAAAATAACAAATGTTGGTTCTGTGTGATCACGGGGAACACCGGGTCGTCTCTGTGCGTGTAGGTCCCGAACAGGGGTGCGCACCCCCAATTTTGACTCACTCTGGAGCCACACGGTCGCACACTGATACTTGCTCTGATCTTCGTGTGTTACATTCTCTGTATTGGCCATTGTTGGTAAAATGATTCGAAAATGAATCGCGTCTGCGTCTGGACAACAATCTGTTACTGCGCTGGAGTCGTACAGCGCGTCATTTCAGGCAGAGGAGACGCGTTTCTCCCATGATGCATTTCGAATAGTCCGTTTGTCCATACTGTCTATGGTTTGGACCCGGGTTCGCGTTCACACCAGAGGAACCGCACCAAAGTTGGTCATTTGGTGCGGATTCAAGCGAACCGAGACCACCTCTTTTTTGCGGTCTCGGTCCGCTTGATTTGGTTCGGGTCCGAGTCCGATTGACGCTTTCACACCAACGCAAACGAACCGAACTAACCACTTTTGGTTCAATGGACCGTTTGGTGCGCACTAAACCCTTACCCCGAATTCACACCAGGAGCTGCAGCAGCGCTTAACGTAGGCGGAGCTGCGCGTACGCGTAAATTTCAAAGTTTCAATTCACACCAGAGCGTCAGAGACGTTCCTGCTACGCAGCCTGCACATCTTCTCACTGTTTTCAGACATCACATTTTGTACTTGCTTTTTATCATTTATTTTATGTTAAAGTGTATTAAATTAGAATGTGTATTAAGTGTATTATGAACAGTGTTGGGAGTAACGCATTATAAAAGTAACGAATTACAGTAATGCATTACTTTTAGCTGTAACGCAGTAATGTAAGGCATTACAGGGGGAAAAATAGTAATATTTTACTTGGTACAAATGTGAGTAACGCGCGTTACAATGTTGTTTTTTTTACCTGGATTGAAGTGGTGGGTTTTTCTTCATACAAATTCGCTAAAATCACCTCGATATCAGCAGCGGTGAAACGCCCTCATAGACCTTCAGGTAACCGCGGGCGAAAGGACTGACAAAGAACTCCACGCTGTTTAGACCTGGTTTAGACCTGGGTCAGTTCTGGTTTAGACCTGGTTTACACTCGTCCCTCCCTCTATCGCAGTTCACTTTTCGCGGTCTCGCTGTTTCGCTGATTTATTTATTTATTTATTTATTTGTGCAATTTTGCATGCCTTTTTTTTTTTTTTTTACATTGTATGAATGCGTATTGCGTTCCTCCCGCTGCGTCCTGACTGGCCAAGAGACTCCTGTCTCCTGTACAGTACAGAATGTGTTCAGAATGTGTGCCAAATTTAAATACATGTTCAATCTCTAGCAGTGTGATTCTGAAGCGCTGTACGGTTGCAAGTTTTCTCCCCGACGAAACCCACAACGTCGACGAAACGTTCTGCACCGACAAAGGCTCCTGCGCTCGCACCCAAAAGGCTGAGGAAGATGCAAACCATCACACAAAAAGTTGGACTTCTGGACACGCTGAAGGAAGGTAGAAGTTACGCGCTGTAACAGACTCTTGCACCGGTTCGGGTACCTGCAAATAGTTGCTGAAATCAGGGCCGCGAGCCCGAGCAGCAGGGTCCATAAAGAGCGATCGGGCAACAGCCGCTCTTACCTCCGTGAGGTGCGGAGCAGAGCCGCTCCTTTCTCCTGCGGTCACCTTCGAGCCCGTCCCTACAGTGAGTCCTGTTTTAGTCCTAGTTCAATTCTGGTTTAGTCCTAGTTCAATTCTGGTTTAGTCCTAGTTCAGTTTTGGTTTAGTCCTAGTTCAGTTCTGGTTTATTCCTGGTTCAGCTCTGGTTTAGTCCTGGTTTAGACCTGGTTTAGTCCTGGTTCAGTCCATATACAATGCAAAAGTTATTTTGGTGAGAGTAACTTAAAGTAATGCAATAGTAATGTAATGACTTACATTTTAAATGCAGTAATATTGTAATGTAACAAATTACTTTGAAATGACTGTAATAGGTAATAAATACCGCATTACAGTTTCAAAGTAACTTGCCCAACATATATACATGTATATATATATATATATATATATATATATATATATATATATATATATATATATATATATATATATATATATATATATATATATATATATATATATATATAGGGCTGGGCGCGTTAATTTTGCGTTAACTTGCGTTATCGCCGACAATTATTTTAACGCCGTTAATGCAGTTATTATTATCATTATTATTATTATTATTATTTTAAATTGTAAACATCGCTTGCTCATTGGCTCTTACTTTGAAAATGTAAAAAGCAAGCGTTTCTTTAAGTTTGACGTCTTTTCTTTACACTTTTTTCACTTTTTTCTGACCACGTGAGATGCAACGTGTCCGAGCCTTCTTGGTCTTCAATGCTCGGCCCGGTCGCGGGCTCCGGCTCCGACCGCGGGTCACGGGCTCGTGCCAAAGGTACACGCTTCTCTACTACTCCCTACAACATGCTGTTCACTACAGTTTACAGAGACCAAATAAGCAAAGCTCTGTAAAAATGCTCAGAAGAATGGCTGCCAATAAAAACATCAACAAGTGTAAACACAGGAATTACTAGAGTTTCTTTATTTGTGCTTTAAACAAATATGGTTCAATTACATGTTCATCTAGATACATTTTTATCAAGAGCAAAATATAAATAGATGGACTGAGTCTGAGGATAACAGCATACATTTAAACACTGTCCCCTGGTGGTGATGTACAAAAAAAAAAAATAAGTGGGCCAAAATCCATGCATTTCAATCTAAATTTATTCATGTAGTCATGTCCAATCTGATTTAACATCTTTACTCAACTTTTTTTTATTGGATTTCACATCATAAATTAGTTTTCTTTGTTTGTGGCCAACAGTTTTTCACTCTCATCATTTTTGTTGAAAATCAAACACTTAAACAGGACCATGAACACTCGTATTAAAGGTTGTATAGAGGATTTTCCAAGGAACGAGAAATCCAGCGACTGTTTGTCCTTTTTCAAATGTTGCGCATGCGTGAAACCACCCCCCCCTCCCCTACAGCTCCTACGTAGAAACGCCTCCTCCCGCCTCCTCTTTACGCCAGAAACAGGTTTGTTTACAGCCGGTGCGCTGCA